TTGCATTGAAATCTTCCCCTTCAACCACTTTTTTTTTGCTTCAGAAATATTGATTCACTGCTTTTTAAAAACCCAAGCAATGAACTTATTTTTAGAGTTAATGATGAGCTAATGATGGGCTAATGATAAATTCAGTGTCTCTAATGATTTCATCTCCCTCCCTCGCCAGATATTGAGTGCGGAAGTTGCTGGAAAAAAAAGCAATGATAATTTTCGTTCAGTGAATGGCAACAGTGATTACTAGTTGCAGTGAAAATAGAGCGTACCATCAATCCGTCCCAACACCAATTGTTTTCCTCATTTCAGTCGAGCACACAAATTTGCGGAAATCATAATTACACCTCCTCCTTTCAGAGTTTGGGAGAAAGATCGACTCTTTGACTTTTTCTAATTTCATCTTTTATTCTTAAATTTCAAGACTATATACATGCCCCAGTAACGATACTTAAAGGGTTACTTTGATACTACCATTTCGGTACCTTTGATACCACCATTTCGGTACCTTTGATACTACCATTTCGGTTCGTTTTCGTTTCGAAGGATGTGTAATTTGCAGCAGGATTACAGCCAAACTTGAGCCAAAAATTCATCCCGGGGAATGACGCCCAAGGCGGCGAGGCCGGTCCAGTCACTCACAGCATATGAAGCCAAAAGTTTGTACTCAGGGGTTTTCGGGGTCGAGGAAGCGATTGGCGGGGTTCATTTGTTGCAGTTCCAAGCAAAATACCTAACTTGTGCTGATCTTGAGCCAGTTTTCCGCATTTTGGCTACAAATTATTGCAGGGGTATAGCCCATAAGAACCCACTCTTTTTCTCATTCATCCTTTCCATCTTTCTCTTTGATCTCTTTGAATATATCTTTGAACCCCGTTGCCTATTGTATCAATCGTATTCCGTCATTTTCCAAACTCGTCATTTCTCGGAAATTCTTGATTTGATCTTTCCCTTCAAAGATCCAAAGCTTTTCTTTCAGTTTGGTGGCACCTGCCATAGAGCTCGTAATGATTTTATTGCAATCACCAAATCTCTCAATGCCGCTGATAAGTTCGGGAATTTTAATGTTTTCTAGAGAAATTTTCAAAGTGTTTCAAAGCGTTGGCTTCTATAATTGACAGTTAGGTGAGGGGAAATTGAGATGAAGCGGTGGAATGAGGGGAACTTGAAAAGAGGAGAAAAACTATGTGAGGGGGATGTGAGTGAAGCAACATGGTGATAGAAGAGGATCTATTTGGGAAAAAACTGCGGAAGAAATGAGATCCTCCTTCCTTATAGCCTCTTCACTTAGCCCAACCAACAAATTTTCCAAAAAAAAATGCCACTAACTAACTTAACTAACTTAGTATTTTGTGGGCAACGCTGCACTAGATTTCTTCATTTCTATGATCGAAAATCCTTTAAAAAGTTGTTCACTTTTATCGCAAATTCTTCGAGCAACTTTCAACAAAGGAGGCAACTTAATTTCTAGGAAAAGGCCACCATTTGTGTGTCGCAATAAATGTCGAGTGAATTGAGAAAAAAAAACTAAAAAAAAAGGGGAGGCTGAAAAAAAGGCCGAAACATACACAATATAAAAGTGGCTCTGAGTAAAGGGACTTCCGTGTGAGTGTCGAAAATCAATGTCTTTAGTTTAAAATATAGAATAGTTGATCTAAAAAAAGGAGATGATTAGCTTGGATTAGCTTGGATTTCAAGGTTTACTTGTTTAGATTAGATGTGTTCCTATCGATTATGTTTTCTAGAAAATGTCAAATGCTACCATAATCTTACCTCTTTATCCAATCTACCGTATTTTCTGTAATAGTAGTGCAGTCTATAATAATAGTGCAGTCTGTAATAGTAGTGCAGTCTATAATAGTAGTGCAGTCTATAATAATAGTGCAGTCTGTAATAGTAGTGCAGTCTATAATAGTAGTGCAGTCTATAATAATAGTGCAGTCTGTAATAGTAGTGTAGTCTGTAATAGTAGTGCAGGCTGGAGGGGGGTTGAAAAAATAGTAGTGCGCACTACTATTACAGAAAATACGGTATTCACTTTTTTTTGTTCTTTTGGTAGTCTTTAGAAGCCTCATTCAGTAAATAGATAAATGAAAGAAAAGCTAGAGAAAAGCTTACAGTAATTGAGAAGTTTAGAAAACGCAAAGACACATATTAGGTTAATGGTTTTAAAAAAAGAATTAAAAATGGGGGAGAGTGTTTGATGGGAGACGATGATGGTTGAGCGGTGGTTGGGCGGACATTCCCCATAGAAATGCGAATAATAGCCATGATATTTCGGCTTCAATTCAACTCTTTTCTGCCACTATCTGTCCGATTTTCCTCTTGTAAATATCACTTTCCATTTCCTTTTATAGTTTTATTTGAAACCTTGCACGAGACAGTCAACAGTCGTTTAGACAGTAAATATTAAATTTTACTGAATTGCGCTTTTCCCTATCGGGAAACGAACCGCAATTTGGCTGTTTATTTGAATAGAAATACGATTGAAAATATCTACTTCCTTGCTTGAAACCAATCAAGTTTTTTTTTCGAGGACAATTTGCCATAATTAAATGCGCCTTGCCGAGAATTATGATCTTCGGGGTTTGAAATGAATCTCGAAGCGTTCATTCATTCAGCTTTTTGGTTCATTGGGTCGAGTAGGAGGGGGAAAAAGGAAAAGGGTTCTTTTGAAGAGGAAAAGGTGCAGCTCGAAGCCCAACCAGGCCCATTGTGTCACCTCCCGATGGCGCTCGACTTTTCCACTTTCTTCTCACGTTCACACGTCAGTGCACTCCTCAGCCCTTGTTTCTCTCCACCGATTTTCACTAGGCCTTCCCTCCTATATACTTAACTCAACGGCTTTTTGCAAGAGTTGCTCTCAATTTTTCAATTCCCAAACCTTGTTGGAATAATTCTTGTTTGGGATATTGGGATATGTTCTAATTCATTTTATCCTTCTTTCATTCTAAAAACGAATTCTTTCCTCAAAGAAAAACTTGATTCGAGTCTAATTTTCTTTTCCGGTTTAACCAAGCCATCATGAGCAGAAATGGGACTTACTAGGCGATAACAAGTGGGGGAAAAGATTGTGCATTTTGTCAAAAGCAATATTTACTTCATAAGCATGAATGGATGAATGTGGGGCAGGAGAAAGGGGGAAGCGGAAAGGAAAGGGTAAAAAGGGCATCTCTACATCACTCACACGGGAGCTTTTCATAATGAACTCCTTATCCTCTCTCTCCGAAGAAGAGCTCTCCAAAGCGTTTGTGAGAAAATTCGCCTTTCTTTTTCACCCCTTTTTTTTTCCTTTTTTTTCTTTTCCTTCACCGTTGCTACTCTTGGTGCAACTTGTTCAGGATTATACTCAAGAAAAGCAAAGCCTGAATGTTTCTATATTTTATTTTCTCAAGCTTTCCCTTTTTGTCTTTTCACGTTTCGAATTCCGATTGCATCGCTTTTTGCTTTTTTCGTGCTATTAATTTTGATGAAAACCCAGCAAACGGGTGAAAGGCTAAGTCAACAAAACGGGGTGTTTCTCCTAAGCCGCAATTTGAGGTGAGGTGAGGCTTCTCCTTTTTGTGAAAGAGAAAAAGGTGGTACCTTTTTTTTTCCCCCCTACATTCCCTTGTATCTTTGATTCAGGCGGCGATTCCACGTGCATTATTCAGAGCGGCCCCCAAGGCGACCCTATTTCACCAAGGCGCTCATTTCCATTTCTTTTCCTCTCCGAAATATTGCCGTATTTCATTGGCGGTAATCGTCGAAAAATCGCTGAGATGATTTATGCTTGACTCAAGTAAAAAAGAAGAATCATTCATTCATTCAATCAATCATTACGTCACCATTTCACATTTAGACTGAAAATAGTTTTGGAGAAGAGATTCAGAAAAAAATTGCCGAAATATTGGATTGTTTGGACTTATTTAAAGAATTCAGATCTCTCTATACTCTTGTGTATAGAGAGATCTGCCTCTGCATTCTTTAAATAAGTCCAAATTTTCTCTGTGTGTGTGTGTGTGTTCGATTGATGAAATGAAACGAAAAAAAGTAGTGTCATTTCAGCGCCTCTTCAAAATGCTTTCCCGTTTCCAGAATGGATTCTATGTGTCCCATTCTCGTTTCCCCATATTCACCTAATTAGGAATGGCCTCCTGTTTCCATTTTTGTCATCGTTAATCTCAAAAATCTTTTCATAGAATCCATTCGATTCGTTTTTCTTGCGCTCATCGACTTTGAAAAGAAACTCTCACCTCTTTCTTTCATCAACTTTTTTTTTGTTCACAGACGAAAAACGAACAAATCTAGGTGATGAAATTTACACAAAACCCAATCAGAATAATGAGATTTTCCTAATTTTCAATCTCGTGACCGATCGAGAGTGTATTTGCCGAGATTCTCTTCCCCTTTTTCCTCTCTTTCTTTGAATACAAATTTTCACGAGCTTAAACGCTTGCTTTTCCTTAAAAAAAAGCGGTTTTGCCTCGCTTTGTAGCCTCAATTCCTCTCAATATTTGCATTTCGAGGGTATTTTTGGTAACAAAAAAGCATTGATCTGTGAATTGCTTGAAAATTGAACTTTTGAAAAGCTCAAAGTACAGAAATGGTTGAAGGGATTAATTTGTGAGTGAATAGAATCTGATGAGCAACCGCAAAAGAAACATCTAATCCATTCAGATATTTCTTTTAGATATTTTTTTTAAAAGAAAAAGAAGAAGGGCATGGGCCACCTCCGGTCGATGGGCTCTCGATAATCCCATCGCTCGCGGGGCGCTCGGTCGACGAATTTGGCACCTTGTGTGAACAGACTCGAGTCTCTTTCCCCACTCTTTTCCACCAATAAACTTGCCCAAGACCATTGTACGTTTGCCTCTCAACTTCTCAACAAACTATTCAACTCATTCACCATGCTGAAATCTTTCAGTTTTTCGAAAACAGCTAAACGTCTAATATTTGTTCTTCTTTACTGCTAAAGGCAAAAAAAAGGGAGGAGCTCTTTGAGGAGAAGGGTGAAGAGGCCAAGAATGGGCGTGCTGTCGGCGTGGCTTCGAATCTCATACTACTCATACAGGGTGGTTCTCGAGTCTTCCCCTTCTCATTCTCCAACATCTCCTTCTTTCGAACACTCCGAGTGGGTCTCATCTCGATGGTTGTCCAATGTTTTTTTTTGCCTCTTCTTCACCTTTCTTTTTGTTCCCTACATAAAGCATCTTCAGATTCTGCTAATTTTGTTTTCTTTTTACCGAAGATTTGCACACTTTTCCCTAAAAATCTTTTGGGATGTAAATGGAAAATGAGGCCAATCTTTGAGCAAACGCAGAGCAAACGTTCAAAAGATTTCTTCACAATTAGAGATGCCCAAAGGTTGAAATGTCCGAGCAATGTACACCTCCTTTGGGTTACTCACTTCTTGAATCTTGAGTCTAGATTATGCACGGTTCTTTTGTTCTTTGATCGATTTTCTCTTAATTACTGAAACTGTGAGATTTTAGGGATTTGGGATGTTGTGACATGTGGTCGACGAGCGAGTCGAGCAACGCGTCACTTTTTATTCCTACCACCTCAACGCAATCCGCTGATCCAGCTGTGACTATTCTCGGTAATACAGTTCAGACTTGTCAAGCGATGGATTCAATCCGGATTACATCGGATCGGATTGCTTTGGATGACGAGCCGATCCGATGACCTCCTCCATCGGGTTGAGTCCGATCCGATCCGATCCGATAGAGATCCGATAGATCTATCCGATAGAACTAGAGCAAGTCTAGTTCATAACACTCAATCTTATACATTTCATTCATTTTCACGTGATTATTATCAAATTACTTTCCAGCTGGACTCCCACCCGAACCCCGACCACTTCTTGAGTTGGTGTCGATCAGCGCCATTCTCATCGTGCTCATTCTAGCATGTGTCATTGGTAATCAAGTCTCCTTTTCTTTCAATCTCATACTTCTATTTTCAGGAAATCTCTTTGTGATTCTTGCAATCGTTTTCGAGAGGGATCTTCGTGGTAGACCGCAATACTATTTAATCTTTTCTCTCGCCGTTGCTGACTTAATTGTAAGTTCTCTTCCCATTGCCCTAACTCGAATACACGAAAATAGCCGTTCCCGGTCGGCTCGCTTTTTTGTTGTTGTTTAAGAATCAATTTTCGAAAACTGATACACGTGTTGCTTAGAGATTGAGCGCAACAGAAAGTGTTAGGTTCTGCTTGAATGGAGAGGATGAGTTCTTTGAAAAGATCACAAGAAAACGAGAGATTCCTTGTCGTTTTTCCCTTCCAAACTCGTCTCGCAATTACCCATCCTATGGCCAGATTTAAGGCTAAAAAAAAGCTTCTATTCCTTTATTTGCCTATTTCCTAAAAGAGAAATCCGATGACGCTTCAAGGGAAAAGATGAGAAAAGGCCATGCTGTAGGTTTTAAAAGCACCCAAGCGCACATCTAAAATGTCGCGGGGTTTTTCGGGAGGATTTTTTTTTTATAAATTCTTCTCGAATCGCGATGTTTATTGGTGGGAAAGGACATTTTTGCTGAATCGGGGGTCGAAAAACAGGAAAAGCAGGAAAAGCAACGATGTGAGAAAGGCAAAAAAGGGGCGCTCGTCGAGTTGATCCCCAACTTTGCTTCAACGCCCACCAATTCTATCGAAATGTAAACGTTTGCTTTGAACTGCTCCATGAAGAATTACAGAATTTCGAAGAATAAACCTTTGCTCCCGGGAAAAAAAAAAGATTTTCTCATCAAAGATGCCGATTTTTCTCATCAAAGGGTTAACTCTCAACAAGTAAACGGTTACAATTGCAATAGCTAATCTCAAAACTTTTTGCGTTAAAGCGTTTCTTTAAGACGAGAGTAAGAAAAAAAGCGAACAAAAGAGTTGCTTCTCAAATGGGTTTCTTTGAATTATTCACTCTGAACATCTATTCTCCAATATCTTAAAAAGAACCGCCTACTCTCCCAGAAAACTTTTACCCTTCATGAAAAAAAAACTGCAAGCCTTTGGATCAGAAATTCATCAGAACAGCCGAAGGTCTTTGAACATCTTTTCGATTTCGAGAATCAATATAAATGTGACTTAAATTTCTGCAAGATTTGGATTTCCTGTGTGGCATAAAGAAAAAGGGATTTATTAACAGGGATTTTAACAGAAAATAGGCAATATTTATGTATGAGATAGAGTCAAATGTGCATATTGTGCATATTGCCCTCGTTACTCCCTCATTGTTATTTTTTTTGCCCATTTTCCTCTCCGAAAATGGATATTAAATGGAATATGAGTAAAGAAAACGGGAAAAAGAAAATCCATTTACCAAAAAAGTCATCTCTCTTTGAGCTAGGAAATTTTGACTTCAAAAGATTTCTTTGAATCAGAAACAGGAATGAACTTTATTTTGGGCAAACTTGAACGATAAAGTTTTAAACTTGAACGTTAAACGATTTCTGATGATCATTTTAAAGCACCAGAAAGAACAGACAGAAAAATCTGCTCATAAAATTATTTATCGCCCGTTGAATAAAAAAGCTTCGGCTCTTCCGCTTAGAAGAAAGAATTATTCAAGAATTTTGATTTTGATCAATTCTCAAAATGACATTATAAAACCGATATTGATAAGAGAAAATTGCAGGTTGGAGTGATCGTGACCCCACTCGGAGCATGGTTTACAGTGACTGGCGAATGGCGGCTCGGGGTGACACTTTGCGATTTTTGGATTTCCGTCGACGTTCTCGTCTGCACGGCCAGCATTCTACATTTAGTTGCAATTGCGCTTGATCGGTGGGAGCAAAACTTTTGATTTCATTTCCACCAAAACCCCTTTTCAGTTATTGGTCAGTGACCGACATTTGCTATGTGCAGAATCGGACGCCTCGCCGCATTTTCAGTATGCTTGGCGCCATTTGGACTCTTTCCTTATTAATAAGGTATGCATTGTCAGAGGATCTTCGAATCACTTTATTTTCTAGTCTTGCTCCGATTGCTGGTTGGAAAGATGAGGGTTTCAAAGATCGAGTCGAACTACAACACGTCTGTCTCATTTCCCAACAAATAAGCTACCAGGCAAGTCTCTGGAGAACCATTTTTTGTTAATCGCTAAAAAAGGCGGCGTTCCTCAAAGTTAGAGTTTGAATGCCCACCCACACTAGGGGAAATTCTTTTTGGTAAAAAATGGGATAACAAAATGAGGCAGTTAAGAAAGAAATGGAGAACCGAAAGAAAGAAATGGTATTGAATTTTCCACTTTAGACTTTTCAGTGTTCTCGAGGGAACGAGAAAAACAATCAGAATTGGAAAGAAAAGCAATCTCTCGGGATCCCCTTCAGCTTCTTTTCAATCCTCGTTTCCCCCAATGCGTGATAAATGCCGAAAATGGCGTAACGAGGCATTCTGAAGGTTTTCGGAGAGATGAAAGCTGTAAATATGATTATAGGCACCTAATCAAGCATCAAGCATCAAGCAATCAAGCAAAACTAGCGTAATCTTGCCTGTACTTTCCATCAAAGCAAGAGCAAAGATACTAATTGAAAATCGACACATTTTCAATAACAAAATCCAGCAAAAAAACCATCGCGATTATTAACTAAAGTGTGTTCCTCGTGATAAGTGCGCTTTCTAAAGCGTGCTTCAAAAAGACTACCGTAGTTATGTAAATTTGTTTATGCAAATTTCTTCAATGGATAATTGAATCACGTGACTCTATTCCCAACTACCATAACAACTTCTTTAGGTTTTTTCTACGGCCACCGCTTTCTACATACCACTTTGTGCAATCATTTGTGTTTATTGGAAAATTATGCGAGCAGCGAAACGAAGGTTTTTCATGGAGTTCTTTACTGATAAGAATATTCTTTTTCAGATTCAAACGTGAACGAGATCGGAGAACAATCAACAAACCGATTGGAAATAATATTGATGACAAGAATGCGCCACTTATTTTAAAAAAGAATAAAAAGGTGAATAGGGTAAACAGGGTAAAGTATAGATTTTGTTTTAGATTCCTTTACCACCAGCGGTTTTGATAAAAGACGAAAATGGTTCTTCGTTGAGTACAAAAAATGGAAAACATGTAAAGGTCGGTTAAGAAAAAAAAAGAAAACTTTGTTAGCAAATAATGTAGATACTTTATTCAAGACATATATATGTTGTGTCCGATTTAGTTTTCCGTCCGATTTAGATTCAATCTAAATCGGACGTCCGATATAGACTGTAATCAATAAAAGACCTTTGAAAAATGCAGAAAACTACAGAAAACGCTTAAGAACATATATTAAGCATGTTTATATTATTGTTCAATCTATTTGAATCTAAATCGGACGTCCGATATAGACTGTAATCTAAATCGGACGTCCGCGATAAGTTCAATCTAAATCGGACGGAAATCTAAATCGGACACAACATATATATATATATAAATACTTTATTCAGAAAGAAATAAAGTGCGAAAACGACATGAAAAATGTACTAGATAAAATATGGCAAAGTCACTTAAAATGCAACGAAATAGCCCTTTTAAAATCCGACACGGTGGAGATCAAACGCAACTTGTCGGGAAGGGCATTCCAAACTTTAGTCACACGATTTAGACATGAAGTAAAGTGAGAAAAAAACTTCAATACACACCTTAAGAAACAGAGATTAATGGTCAATAAAGATTGCAAAATTCTAGAATAAATGAAATCCAATCAACTATCCACAAGAGAGATCTAGGTTTTTTACTAATTTTTTAAAGAATTCAAAACTTTTTCACTCTTAAGTTGTTCAGTAGTAAATTCCACAATCTTGCAAAGAATTAGGCACAAAGTTATTTGAGGCAATCGGAATTTTTCAAAAGAAATAACCTCTCCTTGAATTGTCTACTAGATTAAGTTTTAAAAAAAATTACAAAAAACTGGACTAGAATATTTGCATTGAACGATTTTGAAGCATTTAACTAGATCTTTGACCAAGCGACGGTGCCTAAGAGTTTTAAGCTCAAAGATATTGAGTCAATGTAACTCATGTTTCAATGTATCAATGTAACACATGTTCGCAAATTTAGGAAAGTCAATTTTTCAAAGAGCTACTTTAGTGAATCGTTGTTGAACATTTTTTTTCCAAACGCAAAATATAAATATTGAGTATATGGAGATAACTCAAAATATTGAGTATATGGAGATAATGTTTTACAAAAGTTAATTTCTAGGTGAAAGCATGCCCGGAGAAAAGCAGTGAATCGACGGTATCAGAAGAAGAACGAACGTGCACACAACAAGTTGATAGTCAAGAGACAAAGCTCGACAGTGTTGTAACAGGTAAATTTTAAGCCATTATTTCTCTTTCTTTTCAAATTTCTTCTTTAGTTCCCCTCTAGCTAAAAAGTCTTTCGGGAAACAAAATCAAAGTCAAACTTTGCTATTTTACTGAAAAAGCTTGGATACTGTAAAGTACACTACTGGACAATGAAATATCATATGTGAAAAAAAGATCGCCACTTTTGCGCGTCTGTAACTCCCTTGTCTTTACCGTATTTCTAAATATTAATATTACCATTGTGGAGCCCTTGAAAAGAGCTTTCAGAAAATGCATAACACTAATAGTTTAAACTCAAAGACAAGGGGAGTTACAGACGCGCGAAAGTGACGATCGTTTTTCAAATATCATATTTCATTGTCCAGTACAGTATATTCTATGTCACACAGTATGCTGAAATCAAAAGTATTTGGCTAACAAGGCTGAATATCTTTTACAATACCTAAAAGCTTTTTTCGCATGCTGTAGTGAGATAGAATATTGGGACTTTACAATACCACAAAGACATTTATTCCTTCTAAAATTTAGAGCACACTTCTTCTGCTTCAGCAATGAGAAACATATCCTTTAGATTTCTAAGCTTGATGCATGATGATTATAAATAGATTTAGTTTTCTTCCAATAGCTTGATTCCAACCCTCACTAGGCCTGTTTTTATTAGGTTGTACAGAAAGTCTTTTCGTTCCTTTGCAGAAAAATAATTGACCTTTCTAATGAAATCAACGTAGTTCAATTGGTGAGTTGAAACTAAGGCAGATCAAAAACTTGTGCATCGCCGGGATTCGAACCTACGACCTGCCGTTTAACGGGCAACTGTGCTTACCATTACACCACAATGCACTTGAAAACTCCCTCACTCCAGAGGGAGTTAAGTTGTGCATTTGTTGGTTTTAAACGGAAGTACGGAGCGAAAAGACTTTCTGGACAGCCTTTCCCTTCTCTAACTATCGCTTCTCATTCAGAAGACTTTTCGACTGGTCTCACCAATTCGGCGGGAGGTATTTGCATTCATTTTTTTTGGATACCATTAAGAGAATGTCTCGAGAATCCCCTCACTTGTCGAATTTCGTCTTTCCAACATCCGGCTCCTCCCTCATTGCACCACTTTCTCCACAACAGACACACTGAAAGCCTTGACAGTAGTTGTTCTTGATAGAGAAATCACCCTAATGTCAATTGTTTTATTGTGCCCACCATAGCAAAAAAACTATCTTTGATCTTCAATTCCAGCTCTTCTTAGCTGTCTCTGTTTGAAAACCTTTTTTTTTGCAATTGTACTAACCCATCGAAATTCGTCTTTTCACACAAGAAAACTTTGGCTAAACGGTTTGAAGAAAAGCCATGAGTACTGTAGCATGGTGACTTGAAATGAACTATAGCGAGTTTGCACAAAATAACTCATTCAATCATTTATTTAGTCTCAGCAAATGGAGCAGCGAGAAGTGTTCGAACAAGCGGAAATTCGTTAGGAGGTTTTTCACAAAAATCGCAAAACTTTACAACAAAATGTTTAGCAATCATGCCAAAGCGGAAGAAGCGGCCAAAGGAAAGTGCTGAAACGAAAAGAGAGCGAAAAGCATGGAGAACATTAGGAATCATTACTGGTTTGTGGTTAGATTTCGAGGCAATCAAAGTAAAGAACCGCATTTTTTCTGATAATATGATATGTCATTCTATTTTTCTCTAGATTTATTTTAATTTTACTGCCATGGTATTTGCGATAACCCACAATGGCTGTGGGTTATCGCAAATACCACGGCAAATATTATTGGCAATACAATCGCTATACACTATTTGGCACTGTTTTTAGCATAAAAAAAATGGATATCTGTTCTCTCAATATAACACAGAGGGGTTCTATTAGAATGTCATTCTATTAGAATGTCATTCTATTAGAATGTCATTCTATTAGAATGTCATTCTATTAGAATGTCATACTATTAGAATGTCATACTATTAGAATGTCATACTATTAGAATGTCATACTATTAGAATGTCATACTATTAGAATGTCATACTATTAGAATGTCATACTATTAGAAAAAATTTATTTCCGGTATTTCCAGGAAGTTTCGTGGCTTGTTGGACTCCTTTCTTCCTCGTTTCTCTCTACAGACCGATCTGCCAATGTCATGTTCCGGCATTGGTCGAAAGTCTCACGCTGTGGCTAGGTTTGTTTTATGTTTAAGAATATAAATATACTAAAGAATATAAATATACCTAAATGAAAGTATTCAATACTGAATATTCATCGTTTGAAGATTTTTAAAAGATTGTTTTAGGCGAGGATAGTCTCTTGATCTTTATGTTCTTTAAGTTCTCAAAGTAGCACGCTAATTATTGTATCAAGAGTTGACACCAACAAGAGCTTGAACAAAATCTTGATAACAAACCTTTCAATAACATTGACTTTCAGGATACTTAAACTCGGCATTGAACCCGATCATCTACACGGTGTTCTCACAAGATTTTCGAGCTGCCTTCAAGCGCATCCTCAAAAAGATGTGCTTCATTCGCGAGTATTAGACAACTCGATTTTTCTTTTCTTTCTTTTCCCTATTCTTCGCTTTATCAAAAACCTTGTTTTGTTAGTCATTTCATCCTTTGGAATAGAAAACAATGAGCTGTCCACTTCTTAAAATCTTTTTCTTTAGCTCTATTCATTTTCTTTAATATTTAAACCGAGTAATTCGAGGCTTATCGTTGTCCTTTTTACGAGTCTGCTAACAATTCGATTTTGGCACGGGTTTCACCTATGTACTTTTATTGTTCTTTTTCGTTTTCAATAAAGCATTATTACCAGAAAAAAAAGCCTAGGAAAACAATTGTATTAGGTTGATGAATAAGTCTTTTCGTTTCTTTTCGTACTTCCATTTCAAACCAACAAATGCATCAATTGAACTGCGATTTATTTCATTAGAAAGGCCAATTATTTCTCTGCAAAATAACATCAAAACGCCTTTTTGTCTGGATTTTTACTTAAAATGATGGAAATTGAACAGTAAACACTTTTTATTTAAAGAAAACCATACCGTAAATACTGTAATAGTACCCCACCCCCCTCGTACAGTCACGTAGTCGCAAAAGTTTTTTAGTATTTCATTTTTTTCAAAGCACCCGTACTTTCAAAAAATGCGTCTTTGGTATCAAAAAAATAGCTGAAATTCAGGGCTATTTTTTGATACCTAAGCGCGCATTGTAGCATAAACCAGTGTCGAGAAAAACTCGTTCAAAGCTAGACTACGCAACACTCCGCACCGTCATTATGGGGGTGGGGTACTATTACAGTATTTACGGTAGGTTAATTAGTGAATATTTGTTATTTTTCAAATGAAAGTATGAAAAAGAGTAAAAAGACTTATTCACTAATCTAATAAGAACATCATAAAACATTTTGAAGTTGTTCTGTATAGAATTATTGCTACTTTTGTCGGCTACAACTATCTGAGGGCACCTGTTTGTTGAAACTCATCCGAGAGCTTTTCAATCATCCACACAAATCCCTTTCAAAAAGAGAGAAAAGAAAAGATAAAGGGAAAAGGATGAGGAGGTTAATTCATTTCCAAGTGATGATCAATCGGTCCACTGATCACAACAAACACTGTAAAAAGGGGAGTTCGTTATGATGAATGAGCAATCGGGAAAATTCGGATCAACCCTCACTCAATGACAAGTGCACTCCTTTCAACTGCATACATATGAAAATGTTTTGCAATTTTTCTACTGGCCCTTAGATTGGCTTAACGAGACCGAGACCAAAATTTCTATTTTTTATTACAATACAGTACGGTACGGTACTCTTTACACGGCTCTCTTCACAAATGCAACAATTTTCATTAAAACTCAGTGACACTCTACAAGTTGATCGAATGTTTTCTCAAAGAAGAGATTCTTTTCGGATTATGGGTGGCAGATTCCCATGGTGATCGGTCTCAGAAAATTGTTGCACAGCGATCAGATATGCTAATTGATTTCATGAAAAGAAAGGCTAATGTGATTGGACAGTCAATCATTAGCACCCCAAAAAAAGACTCATTCTTTAACCCATTTCTTATCGCTAACGCTTCCTTTGATCGTAAGCAAACTTTTCTTTTTTCTTCTTCAATTGTTCAGACTTATATTTACCCACTTTACTCTTTTGTCATTTGAGTGGATTCTATTACAAAGAGGTTTGTAAAGAGTTGACTATCAACAGTGGTGACCCGGTCAGCTACCATTGCGCATCAAGACTCACTTTAAACTTTCAAACAATTCGTTTAGAGATTAGAGTATGTTCCTCGCGATTAATTCACGATTTTTAGCCACATCCACAAAGAAATACTCAAATCCCCAATTCTTTTGTGACTTTAGTGCATTAGTGGTAAGTGATGAGCAAAAAGGATAAAGGGTGAGAAGAATGGTGTTGTACTGCGTAGTGCGGGGAGAGTGACAAGTGATCAAAGAGATCAAAGGAAAGCCCCGCAATGCCCCGTCTTCCCATACCCTTCACCCTCACTGCCCTCACTCCTCTCATTCCCCTTCCCACCAGCCTCCGGGCATTCTCTGTTATCCACTCTTCCTTTCATCTTTTCTGATATCATCTCTTTCTTCTCTTTTCTTCCCCTTTCCATCACTTCAACATATCCCTAAGAGCTTTCATGTCTTACAACAATATCGCTATCGAATGCGGAATCTATTTGAAGCAAGAGTTGTGCTTTGTGTGAAATTTCATCAAAATATACAGTGAGAAATATTGCGCTGACAAATATTGTGCTCAAAACCAGTTAGCATTTGAAAAATGAAGTCAAAAAGGTGGATTATTGCAATTATTGATGGCTCGTAAATAATTCCAAATCGGAGAAGTGATTTGAGGAGGAAGAGAAGAAAGAAAGAAAGAAATTGTGGGTGTTTATCGGTCATTCAATCAATGTGCGATCAGACGTTATCTCGAAAGAATGAGCATTACAAACACTCACCTTCATTAAAGTTCACTTTTGGCTTTGTTTCTTCCCGTAAACCCCTTTCTACAAAAAGCAAAGTGCTTTTCTTAAGTGACTATGTGCAAATGAGACATCACAGTGGAGATCACAACACAGAGAGAGATGGGAGGGCCATATTGTGCTCGTCGTCTTACATAACCCATACGGTTTTTAAACAAAGGATACCGCTAAGGAGAATGAAAGGCCGATGGGAATCCCTTTTTGACCACGACCCTTCACCCCCAGACAGTGATCGATTACTGTAAACCCATCTCCCCTTTTCTGACCCCCACAACTTTTCTCAACATCAATAATTTCCTTGGTAATTTGTATTTGTTTTCTTTGAATTCAAATGCTTCCGAACGAAATTGTTTATTCAAAAGTTGACACGATAAAATCGACATTAACGAATTAAAATAAACCATTGTATATTTACATGGAAATCATGACAAAAGAAGTAAAATTTAAGTAATCAATTGGAAAAGAGAACGAGGTAGATTTCGATGCTTTTGAATGCAAATTATCAATAGATCCCTGGTGAAATATCTTTTAGAAGCTACAACAAAATTTCTCACTCTCTCTCTCTTTCATTTTTTAAGAGAGCTAACCTGGCCTTGGGTTGAGCGGTATCGAAACCGAGCGCGGCGATCCATCTCGGCGCTCTGCAAACATTTATGTACCGTATTGCGAGAGCTGTCACTGCTAATTTGCATCAAAACCACCTACAGTATCAAAAAGAAGAAGAAGGGGGAAAAAAAGCTTGCGACGAGATGTGGGAAAATGAGAGTCATTGGAAAAAAAAGGCATGTGATGGTTGGTGATGATCGGGGGATAAGACTATCTCTCTCACTCTTATCTACGTGTTTTTAAGGGGAGGGAAACCCGTTTCAAGAAGGGGGAAAATGGGGGACTTCGAATACAAAATGCATCGATAGTTTAAGAGGGAAGAGGGAATCTTTGGAAAAAGTGGAGAAAACTCGGTGCAAACTGAGATATCACAACAAGAAATGAGTTGAAATTCTTGAAAAGAATCGAAAATTTTATACGTTATAGTTGATTGAGTTTTTGGTCTTCAGGTGAGCCATGCCCACCATTTGGAGGAGTGCTTTGAGCCGATGGAGGGCCGACAGTGGCTGTGGATGATGGCGGCTGATTCTCGGGACTCCATTGGCCACTACCTGAAAATGTTGAACTTGTTTTTGTTAAGTTATCTTTTGCTAACAAAGCAACTTTTGTTTTGTTTTGTTTTGCTAATATAATTATATGACTTCTCTTTCAGTCTTTATCACTCACCCAACCCACTCTTCGCCAAGAAAGCGCGCTCCTTTTCGCGTTTTTTCTCTTTCATTCGCCGATTTTGAAACCAAATTTTCACCTGGAAGCTTTTTGGTAAGATTTTCCTTGATTAATTTCACAAAACCTGAGCCTCGTTGAGCTTGAGAGCGCTAGCAATCTCGGTTCGACGATTTCGATTCACATACTTAGCCGTGTGGAATTCCTTCTCGAGTTCCGTGAGTTGATGAGTGGAAAAGTTGGTTCGATTCTGGTTCTCGGGATCGATCACCTTCTTTTTCGGGGCTAAATTGAAGAAATTGATTCAAGAAGGGGTAAAACTTGATTCAAGAAGGTGTTTAAGGGGTAAAAACTTTGTTAAAAACGCCAATTTTTTTTGCAGGTATGGTTCACGAGATAAAATCCCGTCATTGAACAAGACGAGGCGAGTAAGGAGAGGGTGAAGGCCCGAAACGGGGAGCGAGTCTGAAAAGGGAAAGACACGGGAAAAGAGGGCAAAGTGTCAATCAAGGCACTCCCCTACGTTGCTTTGAAATGCCTACTGTAGTCGGCGCATCGCATGTATTTCTCCTCTTTTCTTTTCTGCGGTGTTCCATTGAACGACTTCTCCCGAAGCCAGCCTTTCACACAATTCAACTTCCCCTTCCTACTTCTCTCAAGCTTTTTATCCAACTCCACATATGTCCATCCTTTTGCCCTACCACAGCCATCATCTCACTGACATATTCCCCGCATTGGAAATGTTTAAACCCTGTTTCGCTTGGTTGACGGCTGGATTGAACCCTTGGCCTCTTGATTGGGACATAGGGCTCTTAACCAGTCGATCATGGCGGATATGTTGACCAATTGTTTACAAAAAAGTTCAATCCGTTAACTCGGTAAGCACGAATGATTTGAAGTTGATGCAGTTGATAAAAGAAAAGGAGTGATGGAGGATTTAAGGGAAGAGAAAGGGATGAAGAAAGGCCAAGGGTAGGTACCGATCTCCGAGGAGAGACACGTCACCTGGGGCGGCGATCATCATCGATCATTGGCACACAGAGTCCCTCACAGATCTCTCCATCCGATCCTCTCGGTTTACAACCCCTTGACTTCCCCTCACTCAGCCACACGGATTAATGTTCTTCCACCGGATAAGAATTTGATTATGAAGAATGATCAGAAAGAGATTCAATCGATAAAGGATCCCAAAGATTGTCTCAATGTCTCAATCATCAAGTTCCATGGTCAACAGCTAAACAAAAGCTCTTGAAAATCAAAACTAGGTTTGAAATAGAGATCGTTGAATTTTAAAAGAGTAAAAATGAATCACGAATTTGTCAGGAAAAGCTTCTATGCAAATGAGGGAGCGACAAGGGAAATGGATGAATGGTGATTTGTCAAAATGAACTCATGGGAGCGTGAAGTGTAAGCACTCAAGCAGTCAATGTTTAAAAGTAAGAAGCTTAGGAAAAAATTTGAATAAAAGAAAAGACAAACCCGGTTTGACGGTCCGTTTGGTGTGCATCCATTTGTAGGTGTTGGCTAGGGTTGGCTGTACACTCGAAGCTGTTTGTGGGGGGAAATGAGCACTCGATAACCATGCTTCTGATCCTGGAGTTGGCTTTGGTTTTTGTTTTGCAAAATTTGATGCAAAATATATCCCAAATTTCTTTATATACGGTGATTAACAGTTGAAAAAAAAATAACAAAATCACCAATTAAACTACAGTTTGTTTCATTTAAAGGCGATAGGCTGTCGAGTGTAAGGAGTACAAATTAATTTGACAGCTGTTAATCGCCTAAAAAGTAAACTTTAAATATTATTAGAGTCAACAATTAGCTCAAAGAATGGTCAACAGCTAAACAAAAGCTCTTGAAAATCAAAACTAGGCTTGAAATAGAGATCGCTAAACTGTCGGAGAACTGACAATTGAGCTGATCTTACGGAGTTGTTTTAAAAGCAAATACGAGAGTCATTCTTAACTATATCAACAAAATATATTTGTATTAAGGTCAGTTATTTATTTTTATATCTTTTTGTTACAGTATGAAGATTTAAAATTCACCTGAAGGAGGGCTGGGATATGGCGGGGGTTGAGGAGCCGCTCCACCAGCATATCCATAAGGCCAATCTGAGGGATAATAACCCGGATAACTGTCCGCACAACTCATTTGCTAAAGAATAACTAATAATTTCAAGCATAAAAGTGTTTGTTTTAGAAAAGAAATTGAAAATTTTCAAAGAAATCGGAAGGAAGTCTTCTCACTGAAACATGGAGAACTTCATTGAATTGCGAGAAAAAGATTACCGTATTTTCTCTAATAGTAGTGCACCCCAGCGAGCCGAGTTGATGACTATTTTCCAGCTTCTAAAGCTTTCCCAGAAGCTCAACGCTCTAATCCCCCACTAGATCTCATCGTCAGCTACATTTTCCAATCCCACATCGATAGGTTCTAATAAGCGGTTCTCGAGATTTCGAGGAATTTAGGCAACGCTCAGGGTGCACTACTATTAGAGAAAATACGGTATTACAAGGAATCTAGCGATAGGCTACAACCAAGACAAGAGCTAAATGCTAATTATTAAAGTAATGAAAGAAATTAGTTCATTTTTTCTGCAGAAATCATTTGTGGTCAGTTCTTTGTAAACCACTTTGTGCTCAAACGCAATTACCAACTGATTACTGATAAGGGTTTTAAAAAAAGGATGCTAAAGGATTTTTAAAAAATCAACTAATGGTACATGTAGAAACTTATTTAAAATCAGAACTTAAGAGTTAAAAGAGAACTTTCAACGATACATAAAAATGTCTATGATTCGATTAATAGGAGAAGGTGTTTCATATCGATAATCATCGACTGATTGGTGGATCGAGGTGTGGATGGAGAGTTTCGAATCGAGTGGTCTAATAAATCATGAAGGTGAGAGTGATGGGGTGTCCCGGAAAAGGATGGGTGAGCAAGGGGGAGGGAGGGGGCACCGCCCCTCTCTCTCCCCTCCACCCTCCCACCTCGGTGCTCATTTGCTCCACCTACAGTAATCCCTTCCCACCACTTCACCTTTCCTAATTTCCTGGCGGTTCAGCCAGCGATCTGTTGTTTAGTGTTTTGCATTTGTATTTTAGTTCTGAAGAAATCCATTTCACTGGTTTCCTTTAGAGACTCTTCGTCTTTATTCAATTCATCAAAAATTCTAAGCATAAGAAAAATACTTTTTTAGAAAAAGAGTGTTTGATTGCAGAAATCAGCCACCTGGCCCGCGTCTTTCGTATTCACGACGACCGACTGTCTGACTGACAGCAGCGGCTGAGTTGAAAAAAAAGCTCCTTTCAGATCGGCGGGTCGAGTGACTCTCCATTTTTGGGGGGCTCTTTTTTGTGTGTTGACAGCGATGAATTGCTAGCCGCTCCTAATTGCTCGCTTGGGAATTAACGAAAATTGCTCTCACTCCCAGATATCTGCAAAAACACTCGAAAAACGGAAATGTTATTAGAGTTTATTGCACCGTAATGCTCTAATTTTGAGTTATCGTGACCTTTTTCTAAAGGACCCTAAACTGTGTAAAGCAATGAACATAAATTTGTGGAAGATGAGCGGCGGCTTGCGCCACTTGCCTCCATAAATCGTGCCCCGTTCCGGGCCGACCTCTCGTCGAAGATTTACAACCGATTGCCATGAAGATGTGTGTCCTATTGTGATTAATAGAATAATTGATTGGTTAGTGATTTTAGTCCTTTGGAAAACGACTAAAATTCAAGAAAAAAGAATACCTTTTCAATTAGGGAACATGTTTTAAATGAAATTATAATCAAACGGGTTAATACTGTGCTGAAAGACTCGTGAAAAAGGCTGTTTGTGCTGGCTGACTGTTTGTGTTTCAATATATTGTTTAGGATCAGCGTTCATAAATTTAGGTTTTAGTCTTATAGCTTGAAATTGGCACGATATTCATGAAATACTTTATTTTTCAAAGTTTTGGTTTCTGACTAGAATATTTTCATTAAAAATCTGTAAGTGCATCATCACGAGTCTTCGTAGAATTGTGTTCGAAAGCTGAGACAAGAAACGTCGATCGATCGCCAATAATTCTTTTGGCAGCCGGAGATTCTAGAATTTCGTATTGTATTCATTATTCGAGATATTTATTAAATCTTTCACGAGCTGGCTTCTAGTTTTTGTACAATCAATGTTTTTGGCAGCTTTCAGTATTCTTCATGAGTTTGTAATTAGACCAAATTTTTGAGGAGTGCTTAAGGGAAGTGTAATATTTTAAAAAAACTAATTACTTCGCTGGCATCTTCAGATTTAATACAAAGGCTTGATAAAATTTCGTAAAAAATGAAACACATTGACCGTGATCAGAATCGAACCCTCGTTGTGTGGGTACCGTTCAGAGCCGTTAAGGGACCGATAAGTCTACTTACCAGGAGAGATGATAGTCCCACGTTGCTCAAGGCACTGTTCATTGTGGCGTTTTGAGAGATCATTGTGTTTCCTCAGTAGATGCGTTCGTTTAGCCTGGATAGAGAGATTTAGCTTCGGGAATTGAATATAGCCAATCAAATAGCTAAAGACTAACATGTTCGCCGCCAATATTCTGCCCGCATACCAAGCACTTTTCGTGATCTCCCGTCAAGCGAATGTTTTGATGCGAATACGATAAATGATAAGCCAAAACCTCAACTCATCGACTGTGGCTTTTAAACAAATTTGAGTTATACTTTCTACTAGTTTTCCACTCTAGGGAAATTTCAATTCCTACATTTGTAGGTGAAATAAAGTTACGTACAAGTTTGAAAATTCAGCATTTTGCACAACTTACCGTATTTATTCTAATAGAAGCGCAGCTTCCAATAGAGGCTATTTTGTGAAATCATTGAAAAAAAGAAAAGCGCATTCGCTTCTATTAGAATAAATACAGTACTTGTATTGAATCAAAGGTTCGTCCACAAAGAGGAGCGATACACATAAGTGAGCCCAAGTCACAATCCCCTCGAAACTCAAGCCGTCCCAGAACAATCGCATCACTCATCGATTCTTCCGTACATTTTCTGACTGTTAACTAAAAACCCTTGTTTGCCACTTTATTTTTTTTATTTGATCAAAGACAAACCATATTATTTCCAGTCCGCACAAAGCGATCAGCTACAAATCTCATGTAATCATCGGCAGAATGTTTTTGGGGTTTAGTTATGTTTTTCGAATTGTTGCGAAGTCTATTTGGCAGAAGACGGATTGGAATTAGTCTAGGCTAAATGAACGAACATTTGAACATCGCCTTTGAGTGGCTTACCGTTTGCTTTGCTCGAGTTTCTGTTTGAGAAGTGGAAGCATTCATATCATATCATTCATTTAAATATAAAGCATTAATGTCGTTAAGAAAAATGCTTTATTTAGAGTCTTCCTCAATCCTGAAAAGGCACAGCATTACTTCGTTTATGGTATTTGTCCGTTCAACGGCTCTTTTTAGGGAGATTCGGCGGATCCTCGATTTGAATAGTCATGAAGTTAATGTTAATGTGCGCTATGTTCAAAATTTAAATTTATTGAAACATGAGATCTTGAATCCGAAATAAATTTTCGAATTTTGCAACGGTAAAAGCATCACAGGAAAACGTTTGAATGTATCACCCTATAAACCGAGTTAGTAAGAGACTGATTGAGAGAAAGAGCAAAGAACTTGACTTGACTAAAATGAAAGAATATAAAATGCAAAAATGGATAAATTATACAAAAAGGCTAGTTTGCGGGTTAGCCACATGCACTTGCTACCTAATTCGAGTTACACACTTTTGATTAGGGTTCGCCGAACCGTTCCGGATCAAACTCAGAAAATGATATTTTGGAAGAATCAACGGGATCTAACTCGGCCATTTCTGAGTCACACGCAAAGTGTTTATCGTGCATTCGTCGAAGTTCTTCGTGCAAAAAGCGCTCGGTGCTTTTAATCAACGCTAAAATTTACTTGCTCGCGTTACTTTATTTGATACTTTTACCCATTTTTTGAGTGGTCTCAAAATTGGAGCTTTGCTGTGTGTAGCCGGCTGAGCTGACAAGATACAAGTTATCCAGAACTTTGTCTAATTTATCCTAAACATTTCTTGAGCATACAAAATTGTCTTATTTTCTCTTTGCATGTAACTACCTCGATATCTTTCAGAGTACTTTTGAAGCCCAAACAGGCATCCTCCATTTTGACCTAAAATACCCTTTGATTCAATTTTTTTCTTGAAAATGTGTGGCTTACCTTGCTAATCTGTTTTTCTTTGCTGAGCTCGCTGACGCAACTTTGTACATGAGTAGAAAGCACATCGATTAGCTCTCCACAAGCTTCCACCTAGTTATATTGATTATAAAATCCTGTTGATCCAAAAGGTAAAAACCACTTTTGGAGCGAATTTGTTATTACCTGTTCAAGTTGTTGCGATTTCCTATCCCAGGTTCTTTCTTGATCTTTATAGGACATTTTGGAGCTCTTAAATTCTGCAAAGGTACACATAATAAATGTGTAACTTTTTGCCAATATGCAAGAAATTTCAAACTTCTCTGCAGTGTTGTTAAATGGAAAAAATTTATTTTTTTTGGGCAGAGGGTATACTTCATAAACATCATCAATATCAAACGTAGTTACACGCGCATAAATAAAGCAAAAACAAATAGGGGAGCAAAACTGCACTTCATTGAAAATATCACAGGTTTTACCAACTAGGATTATAGGAAAAAATGATTAATTTTGGTTGCCCAAAATTGGTGCCTTGCCTTTAATCACAACACTGCAATGAAAAGTTATAAAAATTCCGAGATAATTGATCCAAGATATACTTTTAAAACAAATAAGTTAAAGCACGAAAGAATATGAGCACGACTTGAGAATTTAACGAGCGAATAAGCACAAACTGTGAAATCATGTGTAGATTTGCCGATTAGTTGACGGGAATGGCGGAGGTGGCAACCGCTCCAATGGCACAAATTTGAAACGATCAAGTGGATGGCCCGAAACGATCGCATGCTTTACTCCAGTAGTGGCCGTTGCAAGCGTCTAAAAACAACCCTCAATAACCGATAATCAAAAAAAAATTGCTACCTGTGTATACTGGAAAATAGTGTTAGGTGGAGTCGGAGCAGCGCCTCTGCTAGCAACTCTTGGTGGCGGTGCAGGGGGTGCCAGATCTTCCGGTCGAACTAAACAAAATGATACATATCTATTTCTGTTCTTAAGAACAAACTTATTGGTATTGAACTATATGGCATAGGTGGTGGAGGTGCAGCAGATTTCTAAACTTGTTAACTGTTATTGCCTTTGAGAAAACACAGTAAAATGCGTACTTGATTGCCCATTCCATTTGAAGCTGGTGGTGGAGGTGGTGGCGGAGCTTGAGGCCTAGATGGCGGAGCTGCTTGAGGCCGTTGCAGATTTATGGGAGCTCCTCGTGCCGGTGTAGTCTCACGTGAAGAAATCTCCTACATTTAATGTTTTAGTTTAACATAAGAATTAAAAAGCAATCTGTGAAAAGCATAAATACGCTTTTACATTGCAAAAAATTACCTCTGAGCTACCGCTTCGTTGCACTGGTGGAGTATCCTGACGAGTTGGCATTGGTCTCATAGTACGAAATTGTTCCCGCGAAGTTGCTCCTCCTCCAAAGCTTGGCTTATTAGTCTAAAAAATAGATTAAAACATTTATCTTCAAATAGAATTACTTGTGCTGGAGGAGCCGGCGGCCCGTTAGACTTCACGCTTGGTTTATTGAGCATTGGTGGTGGCGCTGGTAGTCCACTTGATTTTGCAACAATCGTTGCATCTAGATTCAAAATTATAAGCTAATTCTTAAAACTGTACTTGGCATAATTGATGGTTGAGGAGCTGTATTTGATGGTGTCATAGCTGATCCTGCTGGTTGCGTAGTACCACCAAACTAAAAATATGAATAGAAAAAATTAGGAAATACTATTCACTTTTTTCTGTTTAGCATCACTTGGTTTTGATGGCATACCATTCGCGAAGAGACCGCCTAATCCCATAGGTGCTCCACTGGGTTTCGAAGGACCCATGCCACTTGGTCCAGGGGCGCCTTAACCACTTACAATTAGTGTCTTATGGGAAACACATAACTTTCAAAACTTTAATAATATTTAAACTTTAACTTGAAAGACCAAAACAATATTTACCTCCAGGTCTTGGTCCACCACTTCCCGAACTAGTAGCTGCTGCTTTTCCACCTAACGTTGGAGCAGATCGATCATTAGTTTGAACCTAGTAAATTTTTTAAATACTTTAGCAAAACAGAAATATTACCTTCTTTAATCTTGCGCCTCCCCGAATATCAGCCAACAATGCATTTCGACCATCACCCGCTGGAGCTGTATTAGCCTAAAATAATAAAGTTACGCTTGAGGTAAAAAAAACTTGCCTTAGAAGGTGGCGGGGGACCTGGTGGTGGTGGAGGACCTGGTGGAGGCGGAGGTGGGGGTGGCGGTGGAGGAGGCATTCTAAAAAGAAGTATATAATAAAAAATTGAAAGCTGGAAAAATTTTTTATGAAATTGTAGAAATGTGTCTGTTTCGAGGGGGGAAATACAATTTAGAGGTGAGCAAACAAGGTGAATAAGAGCCACAAAGAAATTTCGACACGCGACGCAACGCTCCACCTTTTTTTGCGGCACGACGGCTCACAGTAAAAGGCACCATATGGAAATTTACACATCAGGTAAAGCACACACTAAACGGCAAACCCGCGCTCGTGACTTCGATAAAAAATAGTGCGACTGGCAATTCCGAAAACTTATGCTTTTATGCTTGGTTTTATTACCTCAAATCTAATAGAAGAAGATTTATGTGCTATTCAGTTTAGCTAACTATCGGTCGAATATTTTAATTTTTGTTGATGTTGCATTTATTTTTCTTTCTCGGAGAAAGTTTCTCGATCTCATAACATTTTCTCTTTGCTTTTTTTGATCAGGCATCGCCGCTTATCCGACTTAAATTTTTTGACCCTTTGAAGAGGACAAGTTTGCGTTCAAGTTGTACTGCATATTTAACCAATTTTGCACATTCGCTCCTTTACTCGTTTTCTTAAAAATGAGATATGATCAAATAGGATTTTAAATCAGATAGTCCTTGTTCGCTATTAATAGTTTTTGTCTCAAGTCATGCGCGTCCAAATTTCAAGGTCAGCTCAACGCTAAAATTGTAATTGTCTCTCTTCGTTCTTTTATCACGCACACTCTAAAAACTTTTTGACTCATTGAAAAACCAAACGCATTCCTGGCATTTCTTTATAGTACAAGCCTAGTTTTTTAAAGATTTTCGGCGCTAAGAAGCTTATTGTTGATCTAAAAAGCTTTCTCTTTTCTCCTTGAAAGTCTTTCACAGCCGGTTAGGTCATTAACCACTTTCGTCTCTGGCTAATCAATGATGCTTTTCTTGCTTTTCTTTTCTTTCAGGCTTTTTAAGAAGGTTATATTTAGACTTGCTTTCAATCAATGGTGATTGGTGCGCGAACATGTTTCCCTCTTGCCGGTGGTCTTATCTTCGGAATCTGTATGTCACTGTTCATGTTTCCACCACAAGGGTTAGAACCTAAGTGCCAGGAGGAACAATTCAAAAAGTATGGTTATAATTTTTTTAACATTGTTAATATTTGTTTTAGGGAACCTATTGATTCAAGCGAATTTTGGAAAGTACGATTAGAGCAACCTCCACCAGCTGACAAGAATCGTGATCCTCAACCAAAGGTATACAAATCTTGTTTCAATCTAAACCATTTCTCGTCCAGGTCGTTCGAGCGCGCTTTGCTGCAACCGAGTTGGGTATGCGTGAGCGATTGGCAATTTTGATCCTGGCACAGTCTTCACTCTCGATATCACTCAATGCTTCCTTAGCTGGGCACGTTCAAAGGGTACGGTTTACTTACCGATGCAGATTAATATTTATTCGAAGCTTTAGGTTCAAGTCTTTGCTGATGCATCGCGGGTGGATGCTGAATGGACTGGCTTTGCAAACCTATCGCCATATAGAACCGGTGGACAACATTCACATGTGCCAATTCTGCAAACGATTCACAACCTGGTTTTTTGATTAAATTGGTGTTAAGCCTTGTAACTTTTAGTCTTTGCACGAGAAATACGATTGGTTTCTGTTGGTCAAAGATACTACATATGTGAATCCGTTCGAACTTTTCCGATTTATTAATCAGGTTTGTCTTCTTCTGTTTTTAAAAACCAAAGTTTTAGGTTAATTGGCACGAGGCTGTCGTTGTTGGAGCACCTGAACTTCGCGGAAGCTGCCAATTGGATGCTTCAATTCTCTTGAGTCAACCGGCAATGCGACGTTTGGTTGAGTAGGTTTTACCTGATTTTTTTACAATCAGTTTTAACCAAAAGCCTCATTTTGTTAAATTTACAAACCACAAAACAATAGTGAAATCGTACATTATTGTGTATAGGAACCGTGTCCGCTGCACTCCAATTGATGCATCTATGACGGATGACGCAGCCTTTGAACTTTGTATTCAGTCAGCAACAAATCTCAACTGTCAAGAACAACTGCAGGTATGAATTTAAAGTTGCATTAAACAAGTTTAGTTAGAGAGCGCACTAAATAAGCAGGTCTCGAATAATAAGCATAAAGAAATTTGGGCTCTTGTCCGTTTTCCGGGGAATTCCCAAGATACCTCGGAAAACGGACAAGAGCCGAAATTTGGTACTTTAGGAGACACCTTTCGTTGTATGGCAAACGCCTTCGACGCTCGCAGCTCATGATGCCGTGTCGATGTGGAGTTCAGATCCAGTTTTTAACAAGTCGATCACTGTAACACATTTACTTTCACAGTCGGACTCCCGAGCACTACATGATCATTTTGTCAAGTAAGTTTTCATCTTGTTTACATGTCTTATATATACTTTTAGTGTCGAAATGGATAGGATGGACGAAGAAATTGTGCAATTAGCGGAGGAAGTCGAGTCATTGTTTGATAATGCTCCCGATGGACCATCATGGCCAATCGACCTTCCAAAATATTCTGTTCCCCCAAATAGATACCAAGTACGTCGGAGTAGTATGTAGGAAAAAAAAATAATGATATCAGGTGGCAACCTGGGATTTCTTCACCTTGAAAGACATTTTCCTGAGCGAGCCAAATCAGAATGTGCGACCACTAGAAGGAAAGAACAGAGAAGATGTCGAGGAAGTGCTGGCTGCGGCTCGAGCTTATGTCGAAAACGGGCCAGAAGGTGAAAGACTCGAGTTTGTTCAAATGAGAAATGGATATAGGTAATGGTTCTTGTTTTCCATTGTTTTTATGGCTATATTTAGACTTTTTGACCCAGTTAGAGGGATGGACTACATGATTGATTTGGTTTACAAAGAACGCGAAGGCAACGAAGAGGGCATAGTAGCAAAACGCGTATGCACTAAATACTATATACCTAAAACATTCAGAATGTGTTTAGGTCCATCTTTCCCGTCCAATAGCTGCTACTCAACTAGTGCAACAAGTCCCTTACGTGAAAGAAGACACAGATATGGTGATTGTTATCCCTGTTCAAGGTGAAGATGAGGTCCTTCCAGCGAGACGACTTCTGGCTCGGCATGTTTAGATTTTATTACCTATTTATCCTATAATTTTAGGCATGCACGTTTATGCACTGCTCCAGTTGAAGAATCTCGAAAGACCCGTCTTGTTGTAGCAACTAGCGAGGCGGTTGACCAAAGGAGCATCACTTATATGAACAACGATTTGGAAGAGTTAAAAAGGCGTTGCAGAAGAAGCGCACTTGAAGCCATTCAACTAACTGTGAAAGTGGTTCGACGTTTATATTTGACCGATATTATATTCAATGTTAGGCAAAAGGTGTTTTCATGGGTCGCGCTTTGGATGTAGCAGTCGATCATTATGGACCAGCAACAATCTTCCTTCTGCTGTCACCATATGCTGATGTCCAAAAGGAATTTTTTGATCGAACTCGAATCAATACAATTAAAAAATATCAAGTTTGTGTTTTGAGGAAAATATTATATTCAGAAGTTTAGGTCTTCTTTCCCATTCCTTTTGTTGAGTATCATCCAACTATTTCTGGTATGGATGTGACTGAGGCTGAGGTTTATTGCTCTTTGTTTATTCATTTAAAATTTTGTAGGTGCCCCATTCAGTTGAAGAAGCGCGTGATGCTGCTCTGGCACGTCTCAGGGATTCCACTCCGCCAAAAAGAAAAAGACCTCTATTGGTCCAAAAGGTTTTGTTACTTTAAAATCGTTTAACTAACTATTTTTTAGGATCATGGACGTTTCGATTCTTTGGATTTTACTGTGTTCTCTGTATATGGAACAGATTATGTCCAATTCAGGTTAGATTAGTCAAAAGTAGAAAAAAATTTATTTATCTTAGGGATCGGGTAGGAGCCAACCGAATGGATCTTATAACTGCCTTTCTTGCACAAAATGAGCTTCACATTTTGCGAGCCGTTGAACCAACCTTAAGGCTTCGGTAATTAAACAAATCTCAAGTCCAAATCCGGTCTCGATTTTTAGTTATCATCCACATGCTTGCGATGCTGACTTGGCCGAGGAGGATTATGCAAGATGTATTGCAAGTCGGAAGGAGAACGTAGCGGGCAAAGATCAATTGGCTCGCTTACTATTTCACGACCATTAGAATTTTATTAAGATTTCCACCATTGTGTGTACATTGTTAGTTTGAATTTTGTGATTTCGTCTTTCTCCATTTTCTTTCATATTTTACCATGGATCTTTCATTACCATCTTGGCACATAATCATGTTGGTGCTCTCTAAACACAATAATAATCATCTTTGAGTTGGGTTGCTTTACTTTAGCCTAAAACGAGTGTGATATTTGGTACTATGAAATCTTGCCTTTATAATTTGCTGTGCTATAATCTCACTTGCCAATTTGCAACAAATGTGATCATCATTGTTTTATGCATTTATTTTTCACAGTATTGGATAAATTTTTAATTCTACGTTATACATACCTTATCCTTATCGTTCGTATGAAGTCCAAGTGGTCATCTAGGTAGATAAATAAACTTCATAAATTGTGACAGAAACTTTAGAATTGAACTATAATTTTCTAGTAAGTATAAGTCGATTTAACGAAAAATATCAGCATACCATGTGCCTACGGGTGATTCCCAGATGTTTGTATCAAACTAGTTGATTTAACCGATGTGAATCAATCTAAAACTATCCTTACAATTAGTAATATAAAATGCCTATGAATTGCAAATCATCAACTTTGAAATTTTCAATATCGCTTTCAGGTGAATCGCTTTACTTATTCGGCGGGGCTGGCCTACGCTTTGCCTGTGGCCATTTTGCTCTACATTCTTACGACCCAACTTACGTTAAGCGACGAACCAACAACCAATATGAGTTCACCGCTCGCTGCTGCTCTCCGTGTCGTCTACGTGACCGTACCTACAGAGGAAATAGCTCTGAAGATTTCTAGGCAGGGCAAAGAGTTTTACAAAATCACCAAATAGACTTTTAGAAGTATTGTCACTGCAAAGTTGGCTGCATGTGTGAATATTGTGGATGGGGTGAAATCTGTTTACGAATGGGAGGGAAAAGTGAGTTTTTACAAGAATCAAATAACGAAAGTTTTTGTATGTATAAAAATCTATATTATTAGGCTGTCCAGAAAGTCTTTTCGTTCCTTTTCGTAATTCTGTTGAAAAATAACAAATATTCACCAATTAAACCTATGATTTTCTCTAAATAAAAAGTGTTTATTGCTCAATTTCCCATCTTTTTAAGTCAATTTTCGGTTCAAATTCGAGAGGGAAAACACGTGTTTTTTTGTAAAAATCTATAAAAAACTCTACAAAGAAATTGGCTGAATCAATTTCTTTGAAAATTTAGCTATATACCAAACTTTTTGTGCTCTACCTTTTATCTATTGACATCTCTTGACATCATCCTTAGCTAAAGTGTCTAAACCGCATCATCGAGCTGTCGCCCTTTTTGACTACTCGAATTCACACTAGCAAAAACTCCAGACATAAGAAATTTTAAACCCGTTTTAATGTTATTTTGCAAAAAAATAATTGGCCTTTCTAATGAAACAAATCGTAGTTCAATTGGTGCATTCGTTGGTTTTGAACGGAAGTACGAAAAGGAATGAAAAGACCTTCTGGACAGCCTAATAATATAGATTTTTGCCAAAAGCTCATTCAACTACGAAAACTCATTCCAGGTGCATGAAGATTCTGAGAAACTACTCATTATCAAAACACAAGCCGAGCGCATTGAGGAGCTGCAGACGAAAGTGAAAGAACTGCATCCATACGAGGTATGAATGCACAAGTATACCGTACAACTATGTATTATAACATTTTTAGGTGCCCGAATTCTTGGCGATCCCTGTCGCTCACAACTCTGAACCCTATGGTAAATGGGTATTTGAGCAAACAACAAAACAATAGATTTGTGTCAGTTTTGTTGATCAATTACACGTGTCATTTTTTGTGATACATATGCATAAATTTGCCATTTGATGAGATAAACCAAATAAATTTGTCCCGCGTCAAATTCGATCAACGTCTTACTAATCCGGAAATTTTCTAGAGAAAGCTTCTGGCCTCTTTTCTCTCAGCAATGACGAGGAAACCTTTTCTGGGGCTTTCAATTTTCTTCCTTGCGCCCGCTTGGCTTTGTTCATTATTGTTCAAGGGCTTCTAAAAGGTCCCCAAAATGAGCATTGCGGGCTGTCAATGAGTTTTTTTGTTACCCTTTTCTTAACTTTGCAAAACTTTTGTTTATACTGAAATCAATTCACGACTATCTAGAGATTGAATCTTTCATTTGCTTTCATAAAAGAATTACACGTATATGTAGCTGGCAAGAAAGCGATTTGGCCGAACAATATTGATGATGGACTAGACCGAACAGACTATTTGGTCGATTCTATTGGGTGCAATTGTTTGTCTGGTTGACCCAGGGCTACCCTCGGGGCATCCCTCTCATTCTTTTCTTTCTCTTCCATTGTACTTCTTGCACATCTGCTTAGAGAGCAACGCGTCTAGATTAGCATTCATCATTTGCATTTCTATTTCCAGCATTTTCCCTTTTCTCAATAAATGTAGTTTTGCTTTGATAGCCAACTTCACAGCTTTCCTATTCCCTAATCTCCAACTTCTATGCTAGTTATTGATTACTTTTTGAACCAATTTTCTTTTTAACGCTCTCAAGTTGAAAACAAAAGAACGACAATAAGTGTCACATGGTCATAAAATTGAAAAAAACCCTTTTGAGCATAGGTTTAGTGAGGACAGTTGGTCTTTTGGGATGGAAAGGGGAGGGGATTACACGGGAAAAAAAACCCAAAACCCGGAATCCCGGGCCAACAAATGCCCAACAACTTCATCCCTTCACTTGACTCTTGGAACTTTTTCTCTTTTCACTCGTTTACCCTCCATTGCGTTCGTTCATGCATACGAATGCTGAAACCACCAAAAGGCGCTTTTTCATGATTGGCTCACTTTAATTTAAATGGAAACCATGTTGCTCTATTGCTCTACCATGTTGATAAAAATGGGGAACTATAAATGGCAACAACAACTTTCTTTATTTTGTCTAGAGTGTCAAAAATTTCCCTTGCTCTATCGAAAAGTCTTTTGTAGGAAAATAGAGGCTACCGGGTAGCTTAGATTTAGAATTGCAACTTGTCTTTATAACTGATAATATATTTTCTTAAAGTAAAGCCACTACAATAAAGGCGCTTATAGGGTGAAGGGTGGGGCAAAAGTTTTTGGACTGTTTGTGGATTCCATTTGAGAATCGATCCGTCTAATTGATATTGCTCGCATTAAATGAACAAGCATTAAATGAGATCGATATCTTAAAAACAAAAGATTTTTAAGCAATTCTACGGAGAGCACAAAATTGATAGACAAAAAAGTTTTGTGGCGCATCCCTGAAAGATCGAAAAAACCATCTAGCGCTCAATTTTTGTTGCGATTTTCTAAGGTAAAAATACTTGAATTTTCCCAATCCAATGTTTGTTTTGAAAAATGTTAATTGGATCACTTCTAAAATGGTCGAAAAACAGTCCAAAGAGAAGGAGATCCTGTATAGCATCATAATATCTTCATATGGACCAAACATTTATCAATTTTGACCAAACACATCAAGTTGTACTGTTTGCTTCAGTATATCCAATAAACAATGATTCTTATTGCATCAGACTGATGATCTTTGTCTTAACTGTACACCCTGTGATCTAGAGATTTTTAGTCCTTTGTAAGAGTTCATCTCATTTTATTTATTTTGCATCACTTTCTTTTGTTTTCTTCTAAGTGAATGAGAGAAAATAAGGACTTTGACTTTATGTTCGTGATCAAATTATTTGAATGAAAAGAGAGAGAGAAAAAGAGAAGAAACAATCTCAATCTGTAAATATTTGTTGCCCTTCTCGCGTTTTTTTCTTCTCTTATGACGGCTGTTGATAAAAATGGGGAACTATAAATGGCAACAACAACTTTCTTTATTTTGTCTAGTGTCAAAAATTTCCTTCCATCTAGACATTTGAATGCTCTTATGATTTCACTTTGATTCACTTTCCTACAAACACTTTCTAGAATTTCTCATATTGCCAATTCTAATGATATTTAAAAGTTAAAGATGTAGATTTCTAGAAAAAGAAATGTCGACCCCATCTCGTTCGGATTGGTCACTCCCAAGCGCGTTCACCGTCGCTTGGACCAATCTCCTCGCCACATTCCCCAAGAAATCCTCCCCACTTGACATTGGTAAGTATCATAAAACAAAGCAAAAGCTTTAAATTCCATATAGACAACTGTTGTAGCTATGAATTATACAATTTATTCGATGCATTAGCACTGGATGACTTGGAGAAAGATTTGGGTAACTCAGTCCAATTAATTTCTGATCGAGCTAATGATTAGTCTTGTTAAAGAATATAAATCAATATCAATAATAGAAAAGAAAAGTACTTTTCTGGACAGCCTAATAACAATAATAAAACTCTCCATAAAACCCCCGTCATTTAGATCCTCCACGCAACACCCTTCGCCGCCACTCTGCCACTCTCTCAGGTAATCTTTCACGCATCTCACTAGCAATTTCTCATTAAATTAATCAAGATTACCCAATAAAGATTAGATTTCAGGACCAATGTCCACCAACAGTGATGTGTACTATCTTCACAGCTATGGATCCCTCAATTTACCATAAATTCTTATCCAATCCGTTTTTAATCTTTTTTTTTCTACTTATCCACATTCTATGCTCTTCCCATAGATCTCATCAATCATAAAGTGCTATTCTCATTGCAAGTCATTTGTCCGGTTTTTTCATTTTCTTTTTTTGTTGTTGATATCATTAAATCTGCAATTGAAGTGAAATCAGTGGAATAAAAAATGAGTCAAAAAATGAGTTGTGCTTGCTCTCGAACCACTGGAAATCGATTATAAACAAATGAATAAGCAACGAATGAAATAAGCTTTTGAAATCACTAAGCAATGATGGCAGTTCATCGTTTCTAATTGGTCAACTTTGAGAGGAGACGGTGGGGGTTATTTTGGCGATAACAGGTCGCCTTTCACAGCCACCCATCCCTGCATTATAGATAACAATCTGGGTTTTTGGTTCTCTAAGTTACTTTCGTTTTTTTGGAGCTTTTTCTTGGGTTTATTTGTTGGCTTTGTTCAATAAACAATTCAATAAACAATTGTTTAAAATTGTTTATTGAAAGAATATTTATGACTATGATTACAAGAATGTTACAATTGTCCGTCTACAATATTGTCATTTTGAGAAATTGTATGTCAGTTTGATGTGTCTATTTCATATATTTCGTGTGTCAGTTTGATGTGTCTATCTGAAACCGCGTCTTTCATCCATCCTTTAGGTTTAATGAATGTACCTAAAATATGCAACTAAAGGTAAAATAATGCGTAAAACATAAATATTTAATGCAAATGCATCAAAAAAGCAAGAAAATAGGTTAGGGGAAGATTCGGACCTAAGCCAAAAAACTGTTTCGTAGACTAGCACACTATCCGCTAGACCACAGAAGCCGCCGCAAGATTTCCTTATGGCAGTCTCATAAAGAGTTCGAAATTTGAGCGAATTTTCTATTCCAGATTCCTCGCATTTGCGTGCGAGTACTTTTTGCTACTTTTTGCAGCTTCGGAATCAGCTGGCCGATTCTATAAGATCCGGTCTCGAATCGATTCTCAACTTTGAGCTGAGACTATTCCCTTGTAACATTAAAAGCCCAGTATTACTGGCAGAAAATGGGTAGACCAGATCTGGGGAGTGCAACAAGTGCAACAAAGAGTGTTTTTGTGTTTTTGGCATGAAATAGAGATCGCCACGTGAGAAGCGGGGAACCCCTTTGGCTCGAGTCGTCATCGAGGTGCTCCCCTCTCCTCCATCTCTCTTTCATTCCCCATTCCCTTATGATCACTCTTTTTCTTTTTTTCGCAGACCGTGCGGAGGCATTTTGGGACGGCGAAAAACCCAGAAAGAGTCCCATTGATTGATCGGAACGCGAAACTCTCGTCCATCCTTTTCTCTCATTTTTTTTCTCCTTTCCCCTCTCGTGAACCGAACCCCTCACCTCTACGAAATCTCCAATCTTTCCCCCGTCTTATCATTTATTATTTCTTTGCAACTTTGTACAAAAACTTATAGAATTACTGCAATTCTTGTTTGATGCGACTTTGTGAATTGATATTTCGTTGACAAGCTACGGTCTCTTACTGCAATCGACGAGTAGGGACAAGGTTGTGTTTTCTTTGACAAAAATCTTCAGCTGTTTTGTTGCTATTGAAAAGAAATGACCTTTACAGTTAAACAGCAGAAAAGAAAGTTAAACACATTGTTTTAGAATGGAATGTCCGCCTTATGACATGAGCATTGTTGATCCCTTTTCAGTACTTGAAGAAGATCTCAATGATGTCTCAGGTGTTTTTTCATATTCATTTTCTTTCTAAAACCCGAAATTCTTTAACTTTTCGGTACTTTTCGGTACTTGAAGAAGTACCCAAGCTTAAGACCAAGCAAAACTCCGCTTCAGAGGTAATTCGAAGCAATGGCATTTGGACGGGAATGGAAAGTGGGATTGAGGCAATGCATTGGCAATCGGCTCCTTCAAACACACATCATAGTATACATAAAAAATCTTAAGAAATTACCCTTATTCATTGTAGCTCAAACACATTGGGTGATGCCAGAAGATGGCGGTCGACAGCTCACTCCTCCTGGTGTCTACTATCATGATCAGAAGAATCGCGAGATCGGCTCAATTGTCTCCCTTCTCCAATCCGATTCACCGCCCCGAGACCAACACAATCCCCATTTCTCACCCCCACATTTCCATGTATTCAGTTTTCTTTAGGCTTTAAATCATCGAAATTCCAGCGCGATCCAATGTGGGGAGGCTCGGGGGTAAACCAACAACCACAAACCTATACATACAGGTGGAAAGCCTCATAAAAAAACAAAACAAAAAGCATTTAGTATGCAAAACGAACTGCTGCCACCAGTTGGAAGAATGCTGCCTGAGTTGAGCGGATCGATTCCTTCTCCATCGAGTCATACTTTGGTTGAAATTGGTGTCCCACAAACGTCGTCACAACACGGCTTGGTGAGTGCAGACAAAAGGAAAGCATAAGGCTCTACTCTGGCGGCAATGGGATACGTGTCGGTGTAGCTCATTGGTAGAGTGTTCGCCCGGTAAGCGAGAGGTCACGGGCTCGCCGACCGCGTTTTGTATTCCCAGCCCTAATCCATAAAAGGAACACCGTATCCAGCAAAAGCGATCAGTCAAACTTTTCTAGGCACATCATCTCTCAATGCCCGCAATGCAACCGCCTCCATCACCGCTCAGTATTGAACCATTAAGCTTATCAAGTCCAATCGCTCCTGAGGTTGGTAAACATCTTGATCAAAGGCATTGCATGTATTCAGATGGGTAGCCCTAGAATTGATGAACCAATAATTGATCAAATCAATCAAATGGTCCCCAGTCCGCCAATGGTTTTTGGATCCGTCATCAGCTCACCTAATACTCAAAAAGTTCGACGTGAGCGAAAACCACTTTTGGTAACGATTTTTTAAAAATTGTCTCTGTTATTGAAATCTTTTAGCTTGTGAAAAGCGAGCCTAAAGAGTTTGTGATGCCAAACGAGGAGGGATCCAAAGAAATTTTGGTCAAACTGCTCGAGTCCAACAATATCCGGACAATCAAGGTATGCCCATCAAATTTGCGCTTACATCAAGGAATTCACGTGCACATTTTGAGAGTCACAGACGGAAGCGGGGAGATAAGGTGCACAAAATTCACAAAATTACGAATTCACGAGCTGCCGATAAGAGTCGATTCTGTAAAACGAATAGGAGTTTTGCAATTGGATCAATAAACACGAAAAATTAGCTGTAGAAAAATGAAAGATAAAACTTAAGCTAATTAGGTGGATTGTATTTAGTCACCGATGGGATGTGAGACAAAGCCGAGACCATCCGGGGTAGCCTTGCGAGTAGCTTCATCAAGCGGGGGTCTCCTAGCGGGACCTAACTTTCTACAAAGTCTCCCCCGAGCTACATCAGCACCAAGTTTTGATGATGAGGACGATGATGAAGATGACGATATGGGTGACGATGATTTACCCCCACCTACCAAGAAAGGCAAGACATAAAATATTTGCGTTAAAGTAGAATCGTTTAGGTCCAAAGACAGAACGACGTACCGCCCACAATCTAATTGAGAAAAAGTACCGCTGCTCGATTAATGATCGAATTCAACAAATGAAAGCCATGCTTGCTGGAGATGAAGCCAAGGTTGGGGAGCGTTGATTTTGCGATAATGGCATGTTTAGCTAAGTAAATCGGCGACACTACGGCGTGGGATCGAACACATCGAAATGCAGGATCGAGCCATACGAGAATTGCAATCAGAAGTGCATTTCTTGCGCAATTTGCTTGCTCAAAACAATGTTGAGGTTTATTTGGAAAGATTCGACTTCACAACACAATCTAGGTTCCTCCATTGTCCATCTCAATTGAAGACCCAATAGGTTCACCGCTTTCTGGCAATACTACAAGATCTTCGTCAAGAGTCGCTAGTCCACATGTAAGTTACTGTTATAATTTAAAGTGCATCATTATCTAAACCAGCCGTTAACCTCCGGCAATACGCCGGGGATAAACTGTTGACCAATTGCAGCCAACGCATAGTTTCCACTGCCGTAGTCGATTACATATTATCTAAAAAAAATTAGACCGTAATTCCCACTGGGACTCGAGTTATGTGGTGAACTTTGCGTTTTATAATAAATAAGATTTTAGACATCACCTCTGAGTTCTCCAAAAAGCGGGAAACGGGCCCGAGCTCGAGATGAGTCTCGTTTGGGACTTTTTGCAGTGATGTTGGCTGTGCTTTTCTTCAATCCCCTCTCATTGGTCTCTCTTTCTGGATGGGCATCAGCTGGTTTATTAAAATCATTAACTCTAAAAGTTAAAATTCAGAAGATACACAAAGTTACACTCCCGATCACCATTCTCGAGTTCTTCGATCGGCTGATTATGGTGACGATGCGCCTTTTGAGGCCTATCAAGTGCTTTGAATCTTCGAGTGTAAAAATATTTGCTTTTAATTTAGAGTGTGGATGAGTGGTACACATCAAGTTTCGTGCGAGGGATTTTTATTTGGACAGTGAACGCATTTGTCGTCATTTGCATACTCACTCGATTGCTGGTCTGAAAACAAACCATTTTTTCATTTCAAAAAAAATTACTTTCAGGTTTATGGTGAACCTGTTCAAGATTTAAAGTCAAGAACTTGGACTGAGTTTGTGGCGGTAAGGAATAAAGCAAGAGAAAGCCTTGAAAAGGGATTACTTCGAGAGGCACAGCGAAATCTTGTCGACGCACTTTCGGTGACTTTTTCATGCAATTATCTCTATTTTCCTTTAGATCTTGGATAGGCCACTACCATCAGCTGGAATTGAGACGATTGTTTCAATTACATGGCAGGTTTTGTTTCTTTTCTTTATGCTTTTCTATATCTAAATTTCTAGGTGATAAGACATTTGCTCAACTCGATGTGGATAGGAAGATGGCTAGCGAGAAGAGGAAGAAATGCAGAGAAACCGCAAACTGTCGTTTGTCGAAGTCATGCTCATACAGCGCTCGTTTATCACAAATTGCATCAAGTGAGTTTGAAAGAAAAGAAAAGAAAAGGAAAATGGTAAAGGATTTAAAACACTTTTTCAGTTGTACCTTCTATCGCCTGAAGCATTCCCATCACGGTTTTGCTCGTTGCATTTGAGTTTGTCAGCAGTGAATTTGGCGGAAAGTGCGGGATCTGGAAGAGATGGTATTCCTCGAGCAATTCAAGCTGCTATTTATCTTGGAGCGGCTCTTAGGTTTGAATTTAGGAAAAAAGAAATCTAAAATTTGATCTCTGTAGTGTTCGTTTGACTCTACCGCGATATTTGTCCTCAATGATGGCTTTGTATTTCATTAAAAGAGCGAAACGTCAGCTAAGAAGAGCCGATCAAAATACGGTAATGTTTCGGGGTACTCTAATCACAATTAAATTTGTTTAAGGTTTCCGGGTTAGCCTGGACTGTTCATCCGATTGCTCGTCGTTTTCTGAGCGAAGAAGATCGAGTAAAAACAATTCTCACCACTCGCAATTTTGATTCACGACCATTTGTGGCACCTACAGATCCCGGTTTGATTCGAATTCAAATTAGAAAAATATAAATTATACGAGAAATATGGAAATATTTTGATGTATAATATTTATTATATAAACAAAGCTTAAAAGCTCAACAATTGTTGAGAGTTGCTTTTAAGCTTGTGTAGTATAATCTCATTTTTTAGGAAACGCTCTTGGAAGACTTCGTGATGCTTTTAAAACGCATTTAGTCAAAATGCTTTTAGATGAATTACAGGTGTGTTTATTTTATGGGAAAAGAAAACAAGTTTGAGATTTAGTCAGAAACGACTCCAAAAATCGATGTAGCCGACATTTCACAGCTTCTCCTTTCCATTTGTACAGAAGGGCCACAAACTGCTGAAATTGATAAAAGTGAGACGAAGGAAATTGAAAAAAACTCAGCTAATTTTAGTGTTTGCTGATCCATTCCTGAAAACAGTCACCACTGGAGATCCGATGTGTTTATGGTAAGTCGTTGAAGTTCAATTCGTGTATTTTTTTTTTGGTTTTAAATAGAAGTACGAAAAAGAACCAAAAGACTTATTCATTAACCCTAATATAAACTTTTTAGGTGGACTCATGTATTATCGTGTGCTCTTTATTGGAGAGCAGGAGATACAAACCGCGCCAAAACCCATTACACCCTGGTACGCCAATGTCCGTCTCAACTTCTTGATGAGTAAGAAAAAAAAGAAATTATTCAAATTTCAATCAATTTCTTTAGTCAATTGGCTCTAGCCGTCGGTCACGCCTTTTGCAGCAGAAAGCTTTGCATCGATAATCGAGACAACAAAAAGTTGAGAAAGCTAAATACTTGAAAAAATTTTGCTTCTTTAGTTTCGCTCCATTGGCAGCATTGCACTCGCGAAAGGCGCTTGAAGCATTGCGGACCGTGGTGGCAAGACCGGCAATGCCACAAGTCAGCCATATTCAGGTTTAGTTAAAAGTTCAAAAAGTAAAACAGATTAGATAATTTATAGGAAAGTTTCCGGCAGCTTTCATATGAATGGATTCTTTCATCGGTGCTTGATGGTTGGCGTGGATGTCTTGATTTGAAAAATCCATATTGGTTGAGTCGACAAAACGTCGAATTTAAGTATGAGAAGTTTTTACATACAAGATAAACTAGCAGCCGAAAACACCTGTAACAGTGGGTTTTTCGACCGGCTGATTAGCGAGCTCCGGTAGCGCAGTCGAGAGTTGGCCTACAACCCACACGATCCGGGTTCGAGCCACTGTAGTGACAGCTTTGACTTTAATCTTTTATCTTAAATGGCACAACTATATTATATTTTACGATCTTTTTAAAAACTTCAGTTTTTTTTGACCTAAAGACGGCTGAGAAAAAGCCCTTACAGATGGACAGACACTGCTCTTTTATATATAGTAGATAGCAAAAGATTTGAGGAGTCTATTAAAAAAAATTTCAGAACTTTATACCAAGAAGCCTATAATCACTATCAATTCATTGCCGATCAGCAAAAAAGTGCCGAGTTGAAGGTACTAAATGAAAAAAATGAAAGAAATATGGAAATCTCAGTGTTCGATCTATCGAATGACGTGTAGGATGTTGAATGGAGCGAATCCGATTCACACCTTCACTTGCCTTCAACGACTTCGGAGAGAGATTCAGAATCGTGATGCCACTCGGGTGAGTTGGTAAAATTTGCCAAAATTTGCAATACACTTTAAAGGAGCTTTAAGGGAGCTTTAAAGGAGCTTTAAAGGAGCTTTAAAGGAACTAAATAGGAACTATAAAGGAACTATAAAGGAACTATAAAGGAGCTTTAAAGGGGTTTTAGAGGAGCTTTAAAGGAGCTTCTATAGAAAACTAGTGAGATTTCTATAGAAATTTAAAAGTTCAAATTTTTTCAGATACCATTCCGACGTGAGGATGCCCCCGATCGATATCATATGCACGTTCTCGGAAAACTCCACTCTGACATTAACTCGATCGCCGCGAAAAGGCGATAAACTTATCATCATCATCATCTATTTTTGTCTTTGTCACTAATTACAAATCTTATTTTGTTTCCTTTTTTGTTTCCTTTTTTCCTTTTTAATTTATGTGCCAAATTCTCTTAGTTAGCGATTTCACGAATAGTTTGCGTAGTACTTTTTAAATTAAGTTTCTTGAAGAAAACTTCTCGCCGGTGACTTGCCCCGTGTTAATTCGGATAATCTCAGTTTCTTTTCTGGATTTACCTCTAAATTATTTAATCACTTAACTATTCTTTGTTAGTTTGTGTTAGTGCTTTTTATGTTGTTATTATTTCTTTTTTTTTCTCTGCTCAGTGATTCAACTCAGTGACCGCATTCTTTTGTGATTCTTTGCTCAAATGCTCAAAAAGTTCAACTTTTTCTTTACTATATCATATCATTAATAATAACTTTTTTAAAAGGTTAAGAAAATTTATTTGATATAAAAGTTTACAGGAGATTTACAGGAGATTAGATCAAATCAAAATCAAATCAAAATCAATCAGTAATCAAAAAAAGGCAACGATAGGAATAGAGTGAACCCGTTTGGAAAACCAAGACATTTTAAAGAAATTGAAACGAAGAACTCGGGAGTGGGACAAATGCGATCTTTTTTTGCGCACCCGGACATTTGCGCACCTTTTTTTCCGCACCTTGCCCATTAGCGCACTTTTTTTGCGTTTTAAAAAAAGCTCTAAAAGCTAATATTAACCAATTTCTATCCCAAAAGTTATTTTTTCTAGGTAATTTTAGGGCGTAGAATCGAAATTTTGACTTATCACGTGTGGCTGACTGGTTATGTCTTTTATCTTAATCGGAAGGTCGAGGGTCGAACCCCACAGCGGGGCCCCCCCTCGGTTTCCCTTCCCGGGTTGGGGGTCTGGGGGGGGTGGTGTGGCCCCAGTTCTTAGGTGACAGCCCCCCCTTCTCGTCTCTTCCCTTCCCCCAAAAAGCTTTTAGTCCCCCATTGAGCTTAGGGTAGGGGCCCCGTCGTTGGCGAATCACCGGCCCCGTCGGTTTTTTTTAAAATATCAGAGCTTGTGGAAACAAACGGACGGAGTTATACAAAGAGAAAAATCGACAATTTTCTGTACTTTGACCTAGGCGTTTTGTCTTTCAAATTGGTTCCACAAGCTCTGTTATGTCAAAATTTGAATTCGACACCCTCAAATTACCTAGAAAAACAACTTTTGGAATAGAAATTGGTTAATATTAGCTTTTAGAGCTTTTTTAAAACGCAAAAAAAGGTGCGCTAATGGGCTAAGTGCGGAAAAAAAGGTGCGCAAATGTCCGGGTGCGCAAATAAAAGGTCGCATTTGTCCCACTCCCGAAGAACTCACAGCAGAATAAAATAAATCTCTATTTATTTTAAGAGAGATAAGAATAAAATCTTGGAGATGACTAGAAAGAAAACCGAATTCTTAAAAAATGGAAAAGAAATAAAGACTCATTCACAGAAGGAAAACTGGCGAATGATTTGAATGGGAGTTCGTCGAGTGGTGGCTGGGTTGGGAATGCCACGCTCGTGAGCAGCCACGAAATCAGAGACACGACCCCGAGGAATACCGACTGGTAAAGAAGGCTGCCGGGAAACACCCCGCCTATTACCTCTTCCACGAGGTGCCGGGGAAGTTGAACGGGCCTTCTTTTCCTGAAGCAAAAGTTCAAAAAATTGGGATATCTCATTTCTGCTATGAAAATCAGAAACAAAAATAAAATCTTTTTTTTCATGAGTGAGAAATGAAATAAATGGTATATCGAACAAAACTTTTGAAATTATATCGAAGCTCTGTTAAAGCTGAGCTATCGAAGCTATGTGAGAGCTATCGAAGCTATGTTAAATCTGAGAATAATCAAAGCACAACATGCTCAACCTTTTATAAATCGGTGACTTTAGTTTCGGGCTAAAAGTTTTGAATCTTTGTTTGTTTATCGACTCACCGAAACTGTCAAGGCGTGACTTGTTGGCTCGTCTTCTTGTTCTCTGAAATTTATCGCTCAAATACATGTTGTATTCGATTTGGATTGAATCCAAATCGGATATCTGATTTCGATTGAAATTATTGCACAATAGGGTATCATGTTTTTAATCATTTTCCCGAAATTTCATAGAAGTTTAACTCAGTCAACCTAGAACAGCCCGCTATCACCACATTTTGCCAAAAAAAATAGTTCATTTACTCGTTTTGATATGTTTTGCATTTTGTTGATGTTTTTAGACTGAACGGAATAGTTCCTACAAATGGAGTTCTGCCGCAAATGCTTTCATGAAACGGAATTCATTGCTGTCGATGATGTTCCTGATCGAACGACTTTCGTGCTGCTGTGAATCTTCATCATCTTTCATCAATTTGTCTACTTAACCAGTTATTTTCTTGTCTATGATTCTTTGCATTGTCACTGATTAAAAAAACGGAGGGGTTTGCTTCGAAGCCGGTCTTTACTTTCATTGCGCCTTTAGGTTTTTCACCCAATGACTCGCGCATACGCAAGACTCCTTGGTCCGTGTTTCAAGACGGGTCGGATAAGTGATCGACCATTGCACACCGAATCACGCTAGTCGCGACACGTCTCCCCGACACGCAAGACACCACATAAGTGGGCAACACGTGCCGGTTCGACGCGCACAATCAACGCACTCAGGCCCAAAGGATCGGTTGAATGTTGCCTCGTTACGTCGACTCTATCCGTTTCGACTCGTAGTAAAATGCAAGAAAGCTTTTTTCGGCAAAATGTGGTGCTAACGTGCTGTGATGCTAATGTTCTAGGTTGCCAGAGTTAAACTTTTTTTTTGTTTTAATCCAAATCGGATATTGATACAAGACATAAAACAAACAAAACCCAAAATCATACAAAGTGTTTAGTCTTCGTGGATTGAGCAGTCTTGTACTAGATCGTACATCCATATAATAACCTCTCCTCTCCGATGGTCGATCCGGACTATAGAACAAAAAAAGCTTTACTCTTCTATATCAGATAAGTGCTCGGGAAAAGAAAGATTATATTTTTAGTGGTTTGGGTGGAAAATTTCAGGCATAAAAGTGCTTTGAGAACTAACCCGGAGTCTCGAGATGGACTTTGACTCGGTGACATCGGTCTTGCCGCGCACACCGGCAGCAAGGAGCTCTTGTTGTTGTTTGTTCTTTATTGAACTCTTAAAATCTTTAAACAATAGCTTTAAACCTGTAATCATCCAATCGCCTAGCAATCTTCAAGTAGCTGTCGTCTGTTTGAATGATCACTTCCTTTAAGTCAAAAAAAAGGTTTGTTCATCTTTTCAATTTCTTACTTGTCTACTCAATTCTCTCTTTGGTTGTCCATCATCGATTCTGTTTTGATCACTAAATTGAAGAAAATTAAAATCATTAGACAACAAGCCACCTGTGCTCATTTTCTTCATTTTCGTGTAAACGTGATGTCGAGGGTTTTCCGTAATTTTTCAAAGTTGAAGTCGGAGAATCGGGTGGGGAACACTGAAAAAGATAAACATCTTATATTATGTACCAGCAAAAGTTATATTATGTTATATTATGTAAGTGCGAAGTTATATTATGTACCAGCAAAAGAGGAAAAACGAGAACGTTTTTTTGCTCAGTCAGGTACAAAGAGCTGTACTTTTCGAACCCCTGTGACCGAGGAGAGCATTGGATCAAAAAAAGTGAGCAATTGGAGAAGAAGAAGAAGAAGAAGAGAAAATAGAGAAATGGGCGATCGAATGGGGAAATGTACCAGAGCCCGGGGAATCCCGGGGAACACTTTCAGGTACAAGCAACGATCTGTACCAACATCTCAGAAAGAAACCAGGTACATTTCACGTTTTCAGCCCTGATAGGATAGAGGGGGGAGTACTTATTGCCTCTTCTACTATACTTATTGCCTCTTCTACTGTACTTATTGCCTCTTCTGCTATACTTATTGCCTCTTCTACTGTACTTATTGCCTCTTCTCAACTCTTAAAAACTAGAGCGTATTTCTAGTGATGGATAGTTCAAAATAGAACGATTACGATAATATATCGTATGGTATTTTAAAATGCACTTATTTTATAAAATTACCGTAGTTAAACGGTTAGTTTACATGCGATCAGCCTGCTTTTGGTATGATTCGATGAGGAATTGAAAAGCTCAGTCAATAATGCCAAAATTGAATTGATCAAACGGTTTAAATAAGGTAGTTTTATAAAATAGGTGCATTAATCAGAATCGTACGCAAACAGCTGACCTGAGTTGAAATTGACATCATCACTGACGCTGAATAGGACATCGACATTGGCAATGATGACGACATTGCACCCATATGGCCAGCTACATAGGGGTTCTAAATACAAAGATTTGCAAGGAAAAGTATATTCTGTGTAATTTGTGCTATTATCCTTATAAAGACTATTCATATACCTCAGTGTCCGTTTGCGTGAACTCATCGTGAACCGCAGAGCTTTTCTGCTCTGTTTCCATACTTCTATCCCTTTTCGTCGGCATATCAGTAATCATTGATCGGTCCTGAACATCGAGTTATTAGATTTAAACATAAATCTTGATCACCTTTTACAAATAAAAAGGCTACCTATTGCTTTTTGCATAGAAAATCTTTCTTACTATATTTTTCTAGCTTTTTAAGCGAATTTCGGCTAATTTCTGAGTAAACCCGAGTGTAAAAAAAACTAATTTTTCGTAAAATTAGAACTTTAAAAAGTTCTACAAAGAAATTGAGTTCCTGTCACCCTTGAATCCCGCAGCCGAAAAGAATTCAAACACAAAGCATTTTCTCAAGTTTTCAACGCTCTTTCCCAGAAAAATAGTAAACCTATTTAATCAAACAAAACAATTGAATGATGAATATATGTAGATCAATTGAACAATTGAATCATGAATAAAGATCAATTGACGCATTATTCATTTCTAAACAGAACTCTAAAAAAGCTTATGTTCTAACCTAATATTTCTTGCAATTTTATTTGGATAACTCTTAAATTTCCTGCTTACAGTTAGAATAACTAATATAATAGAAATAACTTCAAAAGTTCTTCGAATTTCAAAAACAAAGTCTAACCTCATTGTCTGGATCTTCACTCTGTGTTCCACAATTATCGGTCAAAACAATGCCCGAGACATCGGTGCCTTCATCCTGAAGTCATTTTCCTCTATTTTCAATGTTTTTTTTTCGATTTCCTGACGAAATTCGCATGTTTTGGGACAATTTGTGCTGGGAAAAGGAAGGGAAAGCGCGAGAGTGGCTGAGACCACCCATGAAGCGAGAGAAAAATAGTAAACCTATTTAAACAAACAAAACAAAAATGATGCGGTTGATGGGCACTCTTTCAACCTTTTTGCCTATTTCCTCGCTTTTATTTAAAAAAAATACATTTATTCTCACGAATATTGTGGTACAAAAAAATGCACAAGCACAACCACTAGCACTCAACCCCTAAGCCCTAAATGTAGGGAAGAAAAAAAACCGATATACGACAGCGACCGAAAGCTCTTCTAGTTTTTTAGTTATGCTCATTTTCGTAACTTTCAAAAAGACCACTGCGCCGCGGGTCAGTTTACGCTTGACCTTGGCAATTTTTCATTTTGAATAACTTGATGTTTTTTGAATAACTTGATCTCTTTAAATTTGGTTCCCTAACTCTCTAAATTTGGTTCCCTATCTCAACAAGTTTGGTTCCCTATCTCAACAAGTTTGGTTCCCTATCTCAACAAGTTTGGTTCCCTATCTCAACAAGTTTGGTTCCCTATCTCAACAAGTTTGGTTCCCTATCTCAACAAGTTTGGTTCCCTATCTCAACAAGTTTGGTTCCCTATCTCAACAAGTTTAGTTCCCTATCTCTCTAAATTTGGTTCCCTATCTCAAAAAGTTTGATACAATCAAGTAGCTCAAATTTAACATTTGGCTCCATTCTTTCATGATTTCAAAAGACTTTTGCAAATTGCATGCAAAAAAAAATATTTTTGACAAATTCTTTTCTCTTTTTCTTTCCACGGTTACTTAGCTACTTTTAAAATATAAACTTCATAGAAATATGTTTGCAGCTGTCAACGAAAAGAAAATCACGTGCACGTAATTTCCAGCCAGTGTATCGGAAAAAAACCAATAATCTAGCCGAATTTGCGTGTCATCTTTGCGCAGGGACCATGATAATCTTCTCTGTATTGTTTCAATTTTATTATACGCTCATAGTAATGGCCATATACTAAAATTTCAGTCTCCTTTTAGCCTTTTAGCCTTTTTCCTCTTTTATTTTCCCCGAAGGCCAATCAAAAAGAGTCCCCAGTTTATTTTTTCAAAATAACCTGAACTTAAAAACTAAATTTCAAGGAATTTCTTGTTGTAGACACATATTTTCCGCGATTTTTTGACGAAATTCGTATGTTTTGGGACGATTTGTGCTGGGAAAAGGAGGGGAAAGCGCAAGAGTGGCTGAGACCACCCATCAAGTAGGAGAAAAAGAATGCGGTTGATGGGCGGTCTTTCAGCCTTTTTGCCTTTTATTCTTTTGCCTCTTTCCCCGATTTTCGATGATGTTAGTGAAAGTGGAAAATATTATTAGAGTGAGATTTTTTATTACCTGAACTTCCTTTGCCGTTTGAACTTCTCGACTTTCTGTTTCACTCTGTATGGGTAAAGTCTCCATGCTTCGAGATTGTAAATGAAGCATTTCGGTGAGTGTTGAATGACTCTAAAGAATCGAGTCAACAAAAACAACAAAGGTTTTAAAACTAAAGATTCATTCGAGGACGTAAAAATAAAGAAAAGAAAAGAAAAGAAAGAAGAACCTGGGTGCAAGGAGAGCATTGCACAGCCACAGAAGAAGTGCCCATTCGGGGTGATGGGGAACGGACTGTGGCCGAGGTTCGGGACATCATAATTCCCGAATCGGTGAGTGTTGTTTGATCCTGTGAAATGAAATAACAAGCTTTCTTTTGCATGCTCTTTAATTTCTTTAGCTCTTTAGTTCTTTAATTTTGATCAGTTCAGGGAAACACTTGCGCATTCCAGAGTGGGGGAAATGAATATTAGGCTCCAGAAGAGATCCAGACTCCAGAAATGGCTCCAGAAAAGTCTTTTCATCTTTTCGTTCCTTTTCGTACTTCCGTTTAATAATAAAAAATTCAATAATTTAACTACTTACCCTTTGCGGTGTGCTGCTATAAGGAGATCCAGTACCGCTTCGACTCGTCGATATGCACATATCCTAAAATTACAAATAAATCAAATTTGTGTATACGGTGCTTAACCCTATGAGCTGGTAGGCCCGCCTGTGTGCCCCTACACCACATTCCCATTGAAGAATCTGTTCGCACACCTTGATCCCTCATGAATTCACTCTCTGTACTCACTCCTGCTTCCTGAATACCGATTACTTCAATGCCTAGAAAGTCGCTAGAGCTTACTGCTTTCTGAACTGAAATTTTGCCTAGATTTCCGTGCGCTACTTCGTGCATCACTTCTGTTAAAATCTCAGCATCCTAAAAGAAGTTGAACTTATCAAATTGAGTAACTTATCAAGTCCGATTCGATTCACGGATCTTTAAAAACGAACAAGTAACGCAGGTGCAAGAAGATCGCATTGTGTCTCTTTTTCAAGCATCTCCAATAGTATAGCCGCTTTTGTGATTCCCACTGAGATTTTAGCTCTCTCTTCCTAAATGTTTAGAAATTTAGAAGATCACTTTGGCTTTCACTTGTATTTTGTGCAATCGCAAAACAATTTCATCAATCTGAAATTGAGCAATTTCTGTCTGAGAGCTGTTCTCGTTCATTGAAGATGGCTTCTGAAATTTTGAAATCTCGTAGTCAGATATTTGAAAGATTTCTAACCTTAACCATATTGTGATCATCTTTTTGTGATGTTTGCACACCCAACGAAAATTGATCAGCGATTGACGTTTGCTCACACGCAGACACCAATTGAAGACTGAAATTCAAAAGTTTACAAAGAGGGAAAGAACAAGAGTTAACTTGCTTTCAAATTTTGGCTAATAGTAAGCTATTTGAACTAGATCAATATCGTTTTGCTGAATAAAAACCAGCTATTATAGAAGGTATCAAAACATGACCCACTCTTGAGCAAGACTCTCGTCTTCGGCAGCTGAATACTCCGCGAGACTTTGATCACCGATCAATGCTTGACTCACTTCATCACACGTTGTAAACGCTTGACTGTAAATAAATGCATTTCTTTGAATGCTTTCAAAATTGAACGTAACATCTACTAATTTAACTAAAAGAATGGAAACGAATAGAAAAGAAGCTCATGCTCTACCTGCTGAATGAACTTTCCGAATCACTTCTAAAACATTGATTTAAACAAAGAACTAATACCGTAAATACTGTAATAGTACCCCACCCCCCTCGTACAGTCGGGTAGTCACAAAAGTTTTTTAGTATTTCATTTTTTGCAAAGCACCCGTACTTTCAAAAAATGCGTCTTTGGTATCAAAAAATAGCCCTGAATTTCAGCTATTTTTTGATACCTAAGCGCGCACTGTAGCATAAACCAGTGTCGAGAAAAACTCGTTCAAAGCTAGACTACGCAACACTCCGCACCGTCATTATTGGGGTGAGGTACTATTTACAGTATTTACGGCAGGTAATTTTCTAAATAAAACAAGCCTTGTCCATTGTGTTTGCGCATTGCCGATCTCCTTCATCGACTCTGTTTTCGGAGAACAACCCATGCTCTAGAGTTGAAATAGAAAAGAAATCCAAGACTTTAGAAAACCTCTAATCTCGCTTGTTCACACTGTGCCTCTCTCGTGTCAACAATTGGACCTTCTGTTTGAACATTTTTGTTGTTCACCTCTCTCATCACTCGATCATATTGTTCAGCCTGAGAATTTTCATCGTTTAAATGTTAAAAGGGAAAATGTTTTCAAACTTTTCTTTCTAAAACATCCGCCTGCTTTTCGCTGATGAGTTGTGGACCAAAATTTTTCATAAACCATGGCTGATTATCCATCATTCTGAAAAATTCTCGAATCTTCATTTTATCCTACAAAAGCACTTTTCCAAGATCTGCGACCGATCAACAAGATCTCCTGTCTCAAGAGCATGTTGATATTCTTTCTGTAAAGCATGTTGATATTCTTGTGATTGTTTTTCTTTACTTAACAAACCTGCATTCTGATCATTAAGTTGTAAAGCCATTCCTCCATTTTTATTTGTATCACAGAGAGAAGCATGGAAACGATTGAAAGTCCGATAATCACCAACCAAAACATTAAGATCAACATTCGTGGATGTTCGGGCACAATGTCACCTGAAAGAAAAATTTGACGTTTTTCAATGCAATATCTTTCAGTTACCCAATCCAATAGTGGATAAAGAAATGAAGAAAAAGTAAAGCGACGTGAAATAGGACCAATGTCGTTCCCAGATTTGGAAAAGACCCGCACATGCGCAAATCCATGTGACACAAATGAGAAGCGCCAACCAAATAGGGATTGTTCTGAAAATTGTAGAGATGAAGAAAGAGAGGAAACAGAGAAAAATGATGAATGATCGACCTGCTTTCCTCTAATTCTTCAAGATCTCCTTCTTCAGCAGCTGAAATGAGATCACGAGGGATATTGCCGGTTTCTAAGTCGAGAATTGTGTTTCTAAAATTTTCGATTCTAACATTGGAGTGCTAAAGGAAACCTTCGCTTTTCAGTGGGCAATGGTGCGCCTTTGGCTTTGCTCCAAATTCGACTCCGAGCTTTTTTCACCCGTTGTCGATACTTCTGCCACAACTCCGAGACTACATTCGTCAACGTTCGACCAAACTGGCAATAAATATTATAGGATTTGCCTTAAGCTCTTAGCTCTTAAAAAAAACTGAATCAAAATAATGTAAATACAAAATGAAAAATGATCATCGAGTTTATTTATTTATAAAATTAACCTGTGAAAGAATGGCGAGAACAAGAGGAATGCCCACAAGAGCGTAAACCACCGAAAAAGCTCGGCCAAGATCCGTTCGTGGGGCAATATTTCCATAACCTAATATTGAAATAAATAAATTCATAGTTTAGAAATAACAAATACCGTAAATACTGTAAATAGTACCCCACCCCAATAATGACGGTGCGGAGTGTTGCGTAGTCTAGCTTTGAACGAGTTTTTCTCGACACTGGTTTATGCTACAGTGCGCGCTTAGGTATCAAAAAATAGCTGAAATTCAGAGCTATTTTTTGATACCAAAGACGCATTTTTTGAAAGTACGGGAGCTTTGAAAAAAATGAAATACTAAAAAACTTTTGCGACTACGCGACTGTACGAGGGGGGTGGGGTACTATTACAGTATTTACGGCATGTAAATTGTATGCACTTCTGAAAGTTTAGAGCTTACCAATCGTGGTTATAAGAGCGCCGACGTAAAACATTGCTCCCCACATATCCCATCCGATATGCTCAGGCAATTTGACTTCTTGTAATCTCAGCTCGTGTTTTGCAAGTATTTCGCTAAGTATCTTTTTGTATTCTAGTCCAGAAGCTTTTACATAATAGTTTTGCTTTCTAGTCCAGAATAGTTTTGTATTCTAGTCCAGAACGTTTTACAGAATAGTTTTGCTTAGCTTTTTTCGACGAACCTGGCTTTATGAAAGTGATCATGATTTGATGGATTTCGCCGCAACAATTCCTCGTAAAGCGCTGTATAGGTAGCGTTTCGCAATAAACGAATTTTCTGCTTCTCCTCACTGAAAATAATGTTTAAATATTAGGTCGATGGTTAGCCGGTTAAATGGTTAGCCGACTTCTTTGCCTTAAAACAAGCCAATTTTTACGCCGAGATAATTCCTTTTTTTGCATGAAAGATGGAAACAAATATTGTTAACAAATGGTGAATACAGGGTGGCTGAAAATTACGTGCGCGCAGCATCAGCATAATAGTTTTAAACAATGTATAAAGCATTACCACTCATCTTTTTGTGTTTTAATATTCTTTTTATCGTTGTCTATTAATTTTTTGTTAAAAAAGTTGTTTTCTAGGTCATGATAAAGACGTGCGCTAGTCGGGACGCAATCGCACAGCTGGCGACGAGCGGCATGAAGAACTCGTCGATCGCATCGAGTTGTTATTGTATCTTGTTGATTGAGCTGTTAAACTGTTGGTTTTAAAATAAAGAGTTGTTATCTTAAAAACGCGCATTTATAACTGGACAACCTAATACAATAAAAAACACAAGATAAAGTTTACAATAAAGTTTACAATAAAGTTTACAATAAAGTTTACAATAAAACTTTAAATAACTTACTGTATCAGTTCCATTTCGTAATCAAACTCAAGAATGTGAAAGATGAAAGCACCCATCAAAGAATAAAGGAAGAGTAAAATGAATGGCGCATAATTTCTCAGTCGATACTTATCGTAGAAGAATTTTGCCTAAAAAAAAAATCATTTCCTCTTGTTAGATATAGGATTTTTTTTTTGTTAAAAAAAGCTATCTAATGGGGAGAAATAGGGAAAAAAAGCTATCTAATAGGGAAGTGTTCAGGGAAAATCTCGATTACCGATTGAACCAAAGTTCGTGGGTGCTTCATCTGAAATGTTTTATACTATTAAGTTCAGAAAAGTCTTTCTGAACAACCTAACAACCTAGTATGTTTCAGTTTTATATTCATAGTATAAGCATAAGTCTTTTGATTAGAGTTTCAAACAGAAATGCTAACCCTCGCAAGAAATGAGGCTTTTTGTGGAGGGCCGATAGAGGACGGAGCTGGGAGGTCATGCTGGCTGCTTCTATATCCACCCAACATCTAAAATTCTTCATCAAATCTTTGTTTTGTTTAGTTTTTACCTATTATATAATATTTAATACCCAATTTTTCCTAATATTATGGCATGTCATTCTTTTTCGATGTTTTTTTATTCGCAAAAGGAAGAGCTACCTCATGATGCAAAAATTGGCACTGTTTTTAGCAAAATTCTTTCAAAAAAAAATGGATACCTGTCCGTTAATTTGATACAGAGGGGATTACAAATAATTCTATTAGGAAATCATACAATAATTTAATTGTTACCGTATTCTCTCTAATAGTAGTGCGCACTACTATTTTTTGAACCCCCTCCTGGACCGCAATACTATTAGAGAGTGCACTACTATTAGAGAGAATATAATATTTGCAAACATTATCAGTGAGAAGTCCCTCAAGCGAGTCGAGATTTGACAAAGAGGTCGCCACCGAGCCTCGTCTTGATCCCGCTGATGACACAAACGAAACCTCGAGTGGCCTAAAATTGTTATATAATATTCTTTACATCTAAACTCGATTTCTATTGTTTCAATTTTACTTGTTTTTCAAAAAAAACTTCAGAAAAGGATTTAAAGGATAAAGGGTGAAGAGACAGCTGACTCTTGTCGCATTCACCTTTTTTGTGGCGCCAACCTGGCGACAATGACCGTAAATCAAGCGCTTAACGTGGTTGAAATCAAGAAAAAACAAAAACAAAGTTATTTCCCAAAAAATATTGATGATTGAATGAGTATCGAGATCAAAGGAATGGTTGAAACAGTCGCGGCTGTTCACACCGTTAATTCAGACAATTAAAAGGACGTCAAATGGAAATGTTTCATGTTGCGAGTGATTTTGAGCTTTGCTGTGTTGTGTGGGAGACATTTTGTCTCTTTTTCTCCATTTTTCTCATCCGAACCCCTCAGATGTTTTACACACCTCGAGCATTTGAACTTTCTCTATGTGTTTCTCAAAAGTGTCTCCATCCTCACACCACTCGTTCAGCTTTTTTATCCTATTTTTACCTCATTGTCTCGAGTTACCTAGTCAACTTTATGTACATTCGCTTTTCATAAAATTAAAGCTTATAAAACTCTTTACTTTTTAAAGCTTATCTTTTTTAAGCGTATCTTCTTTAAGCTTATATTCTTTAAGCTTATATTCTTTAAGCTTATATTCTCAGTAGCTTATCATCAGAGTGAAACTGAGATCTTTACTGTCAAAAATCACGCTTAAAAACTTATTTTATAAATTGTATTAGAAAATCGGGTGGGTAGTATGGAAATATAAACTCTCGTGGAGAGGACACAATCGAAAACAGACAAGTGTGAATATCCCACAAAATGTTACACTCACCAAGGGGGAACTGGGATGAAATGAAAGGGTGTCAACGAGTGAAACATCAAACGAGAAATGAGAACTTTATAAAAAAAAACATTGATCTGTCTATAGTTTGGTTTTAAATTGACAATTGAAAACCTGTGATTCTCATATCGACTGAGAAGAGCTTCAACACCGGCCAGGGTGTCTTCATCGGTGGACATTGGCGGAGAAATTGGAGGGCTGACAATTGGTTGATCTCTCTGTTGAAGTTTTCCCTTTGTAAATAAAGCCATCTCTGTAATGAATATATTTTGTTATGTTCGTTCTTGAATTTCGTTCGATTCAGAACCGGACGTCCGTTATTGAATCTATTTAATAACGGACGTTTGGTTCTAAATCGAATGTCCGTTTTTGAATAGACTCAATCACAGACGCAACATGGAATTAAAAGATCTAACGAAAATGTACCTGCATTGGCTATCGAATGACGAGCGTCGCGCATTAAAAGTGCCATTTTGGGCAAAACGGTGACCACGAGAATCCCGTTTTTCCTGATCTATTATAAATATCTGAAAATGATAAAATTATGACAAAACGGAAAATCATAAGAAAATAATTACAAATTTGAAACTTTTACAATAAGAATATTGTTTTTCTGACTTTACACACATTAATAATATTGTTGAGCAGTTGTGAGAAAGTTGCTTCAGAGAAAACAAAACAAGGGAAAGGCTCGAAATTGGCCTTAAAATCCACGATTCATCAAGAAGCCAAGTGTGAACAAAGCAAATGAAAGAGAAATGAAAGAGAGATGAAAGACCGAGGATTTTATCTTGTGAATGTGAGGGATTTCAACTGATAAACGACATGATTCACATAGAAAAACTTGGGGCTCTTGGATTGGAAAAGGAGGAATAACAGTTGCTCTTTTGATGGAGAAGGGGGAACTCACGAATCCCCTCCACACATTCACCACCATCACACTGCCATCACATCCGTGTTGGGTCAGGTAAAAGAAATGAGAAAAAAGAATGAGTGAGATGAGATCTTTTCAAAGGACGAGCAACACTTTTTGTCTCTTTTCTTGGTTGCCCGTTTTTGAATTTGTTTTATCTTTTGATGGGTGGCCACTTTTTGCAAAAATAACCTCAACATTTAGAGGAATGAGAAAATTAAGAAATTCTTAGTTATTTGATGTTTATAGAATGTTTGTTCCAACACTTCTTTAATTGCAAGTTAAGGATACAGCAAAATCTACTGGCGCAATACAATGGAAATTACTCGACGGCAAAACAAAAAAAAAACAAAAAACAAAATCTACTCGGCGCAATACAATGGAAATTGTAAAATGAAATGGTAAAGTGAAGCCTTTGGATGGATAAATGTTTCTGATGATACTAATCACGACATTTCGAATCATTCATCATCTTAACAAATAACATTCATCATTTTCTCAAGCATTTATTTGGTTGGCGCCTATGAAATGTCGGATTTTTCAAAAATATTCGATTTTTTTGTTTCACCTCTATGATTTTTAAAAAATTAAACAGGTAAGAAAAGAATCTATTTTTTTAGTGGAGAATAAAAGAAATCTATAAAAAAGAATCAAAAATACAAACAAAAGATCGTTCGAAAATTGACTCAACTTTAAAGTGCATTCAAATTCGTTAACCACCATGAAATCCCTTTAAATTTCATAATTGAATAGAGATTATTTCCTATCTTCTAGAGTTTCATTTTGACGCAAATCTATGGTAAAAACTTCGAGAAACAACTCTTTTTGTTATAACCTCAAAAATTGGGTAATTGAAAGGGTTGTGTGGCAGAGGGTAGGCGATTGTGTGTGAACACTCAGAGAACACAATCTTCTGAGTTTTTTGCATACTTTATAATTAATATTTGTTTATTGAACATAATCTTCGTTATTTTCGAATACTTGAGCCCATTTGTAGTTTCGTTTCATGAGTTTTTGCTGCCCCTACGGACCGAAATCCTTGGGATGAATTCAAAAATTCACAGCGGCTCCCTTTGCACACCCCTCAAATTCAAAAAACTTCAAATTTTTGAACAGAAAAATTGTACCTGGGGCTTTATCAAAAAAACATTAAAACTAAATTCCAAAAATTTGAAGTTTTTGAAATTTAAAATTTAATCGCTGCGTGTTCCCTGTGCGCGAGCACAATCGCACTCGATCTGGCATACGAGGTTTGCTCATATAGTTCCCACTCGCTGCTCAGATCGGAAGCGTCCATTTTGGGTCATCCGGTAACCAATCCGTTGTCTGCCCCATGTGGTCACCGCTTCCCAAAACTTTGGCTGTAGAATTGGTCAACCCAGTTCCAGCCCATTTTGACCATTATGGCGGGTTCTCTGTCGGTCAAAATGGGATCCCAAGTGCCTGTAAAAGGGTGCTGAAGGGAGCCGCTGTGAATTTTTGGATTCATCCCAAGGATTTCGGTCCGTAGGGGCAGCAAAAACTCATGAAACAAGACTACAAATAGGCTTAAGTATTTGAAAATAATAAAAAACATTTCATAGACGCCAACCCAATAGATTAGCAGTAATCAGTGGAAATTCAAACGAAGAAAAGTTTCAACTCAAGCTGAGAACCCTCAAAGGAAGCAATGAAATGAGGAGTGATCCCAATTGTGCGCGGCTGTTCCCTTTCCTCCTTTCACCTCAATTCCCCCCATTTCCCCCTCTCAGCGGATCAAATCGGCTGTAAGGTGCGCATCTGAGGGTCGATATGTTGTCAGGTGTAATCACCCTCATCCGAAAGAGAGATCTTGAAAGTTCGCGACAATGAGAGACATCTAAACTCATTCAGCGTATTACTATGGGATTAACAAAGTATTCAGATAAAGTAAATGAAAATAACTTTCTGTTTTACAAAATACTGACTCTTGGATTAACAGTCAAGCTTTAAAAGTTTATAAATTTTCTGAGAAATAACATTTGCATTTACTTTTTATATATTTTAAGAGAAAAAAAATTTGTGGCTTTCTAATGAGACCAAAAAGAAATCATTTGGAACGGCCAGTCTTGAGAAAATCAAAGAACTTAGTGAGATCTTTTTTTATTCTGCTTTATTTTTCTCTGTACTGTCATTTGTCATTTGATTCGATTTCTTTTTGGTCTCATTAGAAAATGGATAGCTTTGTTTCTGTAGTTAAACATTAGGTAAATCACAGTAACCTGTACTAGAGAGTCATTTCAAACAAGGCTTTACGATGCAATTGTATAATGATTGCCTCTTTTGATTTAGACATAACAGAGTATTTTCTACAATAAACAGCTTCTATTGGTTTGTGATAGATAGCTTTGTATCTGCAATCAACATTCATGCTCTCTGCAATCAACATTCATGCTCAAAATCACTTTTTAGAACAAAAGAACAAAAACTCCCTATATACTCCCTAAAAAACTCCCTACGGTAGTTTGACTATGAGAGATCACCTCCTAGACACTCTTCTTTCACTTGTTATTTGATTTGATTTGGAGATTTGAAGATTTGAAGGAGATTTGAAGATTAGATTCGCAAACATAATTCTTGTGAGCTTGAAAGAAACCGCTTCTCAGCTTGGCTTTCTTTTCTTTTTGAATGAATAACCGTAATCGGTTTAGCTGCTTGTTTAACCAACCTTTACAAAATGGTCTCGAGGTGTTCTTTGTGCGGCCGCGTAATGACTTCCCGGTAAACCGCGTCAAGGTGAAATAGCGGTGAGAGATTATTATCATACCCAAATTCTCGGGATCAACTTTTGGCTGGATTTTCGCTACAAATTCTAGATCCTTACAAACCACTTTCTACAAATTTCTACTCAATAATGTTCAACGATTGCAGCTTACCATCACTCCATTATTGCAGTCGTGATAGATCTTGATTTTCGGGTCAATTTTCGTGATCAAGAGTTTGAAATTTAACCAGCGGCACACTGTGAAGCTGGAGGCTGATACTTTAAATTTGTGGAGGGCGCTAACAAATTTAAAGGCAAAAAATTCACCCCGAGAATATGGGCATGGTGGCACCCAAAGCAATGGCTCAGTCGCTGACCTTTCCTTTTCCTTTACGGATTCAAAAAGGGTAGCACCCTATACTGGAGCGGTTTGCCAGATGAAGAGTCGCACAAAGAATATTTCACCAGTCATTTACATAAGGATTTCTCTTTTGCATTGTAGATGGCACAAAAAGAAGATATTGAGCTGTAAATTTGAACCCGGGAGCTTTCGGGGTCGGGGAATCGATTAAAGCTATTCATTTTATTGAGTCTAGCAATTGGAACTCGGGTTCAGTTGGTCTAAACTTTTAGAGGATCGAGACCTCCTAGACACTTCTCTCACCAAGCACTTCTGAATATCTGATTATGACAAGGACAATCAATAGAAGAGATTATAGTGATTTGTTCAAAGATTCATGCTCATAATCACTTTGTATTAAGCACAGAACAGAAGACTCCAGAATCTCTATATACGGTAGTTTGACTATTAAAGTGCATTTTAACAGAGCGCTTCAATTTCTTTGCAATGGACATTCATGTTTCAGCTTTTAAACTTACTCTTAGGCCTGTAGGCCTAAGAGTAAGTTTAAGTCAAGCTACCGTATATAGGGATTCTGGAGAAGAAGAAAAAAAATTTCCGTATTCCCCCACTTGTTCTTCTCTTCAACAATCCTTATTTCTTGTGACAAAAATATTTTATTTCGAGCAACATTTCAGGCTTTGCACCGATCACACACATCAACGTTTGCAAAGAAAAAAAAGAAGACATTTGCACTTAAATCCGAAGAAGAAGAAGAAGAAGAAAAAATGGCTCTAGACCGGTGAAATCGTAGAATTTTCATAAATCAGATTGCCTATATACAAAAAAGAATAATGAAAAGCCGAATCCTCAAAGAAAATGAACGAATAAAGCTTGAAGAAAAAAAAAAAGTCTATTCTTTCTCAGGATAGGAAAGATTTATACTGATTTTATCCAGAATAGGGATTTGATTGATACTCAGCCAATGGCTTGATACATCCATCGGAGTAGGCTCGCAAAATTGACTCGCACACAAAAGTGTATTGACCCTAGAAACAGGAGAGATGAAAAATGTTGATATATTTTTTTCTCAACCTTACTGCTAATGAAATGATAATGTTTCTTTTGATGAGTGCTATTTTTTAAGCGTCATTTTGAACTCTAAAACGGATGAAGACCCATTAAATCGTTTAACTTTCAAAAAAGCAAGTTAATAATCAAAGTAAAGTAAATAAAAAGTTCGAAAATTGCTTACCGGTGTTTGAATGAGCATCGCTCTTTGATCTCTCATCACTCGAACGATCTCCAACGGATACACCGGCTCATTAGCCTCAACGAGACACGCTAAAATTTGCGATCATAACTATAAGCTTTATTTCAAAACTCACAAGCTGTTTCCATGAGAATGAGAACACCGGTACGTCCGATGCCAGCGGAACAGTGGACAACGATTGGCTCAACGCAACCACTTCTCGCCCTTCTCACCTAATAAAATACTTTTTTGTTTATGTACACCATATAAAAAAAGGTTTAATGAGCTATGGGTTTTAAGGCTTAGGCTTAGGCCCAGTTTTCTTAAGGTTTTTTTATTTTAAAAAGTTTATTTAAATAGCTTTCCTGATGGAAATCGGGAAAATTTAAATAGCTTTCCTGATGGAAAAACTTATAGCAGTAGAAAAATCTACCTCGTCGACGAATTGAATGAAATGTCTTGGATCATCCGGCACTCCGTGATCTGGCCAAGCCGTGTATTGCATTTGAGCCACTCGGCGCTCTTCTTTGCTCTGAAAAGTGAAATAAACTCATGAATCTTTGAAATTGAGCTCATAAGAAAATCTGTTTACTTGTTTATCTTTAACGGTGAATTCACGATATGAGCAATTTGGTGTCTCGCGATCTTTCAGACAAGTTACCGTCAAGCGGCCATGATCTTGAGTCTCGTAGAGTCTAAAATATGATTCTCGATATGATTCTCGGAATGATTTTTGTCAAACCTTGGCCAATATTGATGACATTTCACACGCCCTCTCTCAACAGTGGTCGTCAACATGACAATCGTTGTGCACAACTGCTCCCAGCACATTATCCAAAAATCTGAATTTATTTTTTGTATGAAAAGAATCGATCCAGTTACCGGGGGTTGTATGTGCCAGTGGACCCTGACAGGCGATGTATCGATTTACAATGCCACTTGCGGGAATTTCCATCTAAAATAGATAGATTTTTTTGTTTTGATCTTTTCGATTTACATTAATAAAGCTGGCATTGATATAATCGCCAGTGGTAGCTGATTGGAGTGGGACTCGAGTTGCATCGTATGGACAAACGTCTCGATATCGATTCTAAATCGAGATTCTTTGGAAAGAGCAATACATGAGCATTTTAATAGAAAACGAGTCAATCCCACGTTTTGTCATTCCCAGAAGACAGCTCTTGTTTTCTAAAGCTTGAAATAGCATTGTATCCACGCTTTAGAAAATAAGAGCTGTTTGCTGTTTGCTGTTTGCTTTGCTAAAACGTGGAATTGTCTCATTTTCTACTGACCATATCTAGCAAAGATTATTTTCTATACCTTATTCACATTGCTTGACAAGCGGCAATCATTCATTGTGAGATTCGGCTTTCTGCGGTAGAGTTGCTGAAATTCAATGTGTGAATTTGAAGTCATAGGCGGGAAATCACACGTAAAAAGCTTACTTACTTCAAATTGAGTAATTATTGAGCCATTTTTCAAACTCTCAGCTAAAATCCGTAGAGAATGTGAAAGTTTATCGGATCGGGGCACTGTATCAGCGACTCTGACTGGTTCAGGCGGAAGGCATGAAGCGTCAGGCTCAGGTAATTCTTCACCAAGACGGTATACTAAATAATTTTGTCATTAACAGCAATGATCAATTATTTTTTTTAAAACTTTAAAAGAGGCTCACCATTTGGGCGAATTACAAGCACCAATTCCCCGCCATTCGGCATATTGCGAGCTGCACGAATGTAAGCGACAACTTGATCGTGCGCCATCGTCGAAACATCTCTTCCATTGATCATTAAGAGCTGAAATTATTATCATTATTATCATTATTATCATTATTATCATTATTATCATTATTATCATTATTAACATTATTAACATTATTTTTAATTAAACCTGATCTCCTTCATTGAGTCGTGGATAGCATTTATCTGCCGAACTGCCGGGTACCACTTTGGACACAATGACTGCCACTGGTTGATCAGCGCCACCCTAGAAGCTTACTCGATTAAGTTTGGCGAAACTTTTATGGATGAACGTTTACAATAAAATAGTTTTAAGTTGGTAGGCGTTTCAAAGGCGTTCTTATGATAAACTTTCTTATCAGCACCTTTACGTTGAACCCAAAGCGACCCTGTGCATCGGGTCTTATCCTCACTGTCACAATCGAGTCCTCGTCCACTGGAGAGTTTGACTAAAACATTTAAATGATAATCTGTAGATCAAGCATATAAAGCTTTGATGAACCTTGTGACTGTGCGGAGAGCGTCGAGTTCTTGGCGGACTGGAGCCACCATATCCAGAACTAAAAATGGTAATGGTCACAATTTCAGAATGAACTTTCACCTAGCAAGAGAACTTCTTGGTGAGGTGCCATTTGTGGTTGATGGAGGGGGTCGAGAACTCGCTCGAATCCCGTTCACTACAGGCTGCGCATATCTAATGTTAGCAAAATGTTGTGTAAAACATTGAACAACAAACCGATTCACTGTTGAACTGGTCGTGTTTGTGGAATAACCATTTCTTGGAGTTCCGATTGGTTGACTTGTGTAGCTGTGATTGGAATTTCCTAAATAATCAAATATTGCAAATTTTTTGATGTTAATATTACCATAATCTCCGTATCCATTAGCATGAGAGCTCGTCTTTCGCGGCGTAGAATTGATATGGGATCTCTGGTGGATTTGTGCTGCTGATGTGCACGCCTGTAAAAATCGATAGTTCGATGTGTTTCCAAATTGGTTTTGTTTTGTCACTCTTTCTCTTTTCTCAAAACTTTCTAGTCGATCGACCCGAGCCAGCCCAGCAGCAGTTGTTTGCCGCTTTCCGGTGGGTTTTCGAGTGGCGCGCAAACAACGATCCGTTAGATGAGAAAAGCTTTCTTTCCTTTTTTTACCCCTTTCTGTCTCCTCACACATGAACGTTTTTTTTTCTCTCCCTTTCAACATATAAATCTATTTTTGAAATCATTAGCTCAATATCCTAATCTCGCATAATCATCTACAACTCGTGCAGAAAAAAAAAACTTATAGCAGTAGAAAAATCGATAGACTTCCTATAGAAAGTTAAGCAGAATAATAAGAAAAAAAGAAAGAGCTCTACCGTTGGTTCGTTGACAAAACGAGCGGCAAGAGCGGCTAGTTTCGCGGAAGAAATCCGTCCAACAGTGCCTCGTATTGAGGAGCCTCTGGTAAGGCCATCCTTTTCAAGCATCCAAAGAAATCAATCAATAAATGAATAATGAAAAAAAGAAAAAAAATAGGTGTGGGTAGGCAGGATCTTTAGGGAGCTTTGGTCGACGAGCCGTCACAGGGCTGAAGTTGAATGAGGGGGGAAAGCCGAGAGTGAAACAGGGAGGAGAGATGTGAAAAGATGAAGAAGACGGATGGAAAAGACAGAAGAGAAGCTTCTCATCAGGTCTGCAGTCTCTCCGGGTCCTCATTCAGTCCTCATTTCGCCGATCATAGCTTTCTCTTTCAGCTTTTCCTCTGCATGTCGAGCGCTCTCTTGTCGTTTTCTGAGAAAACGTGCTTTCCGTCTTCCCGTCTCCTCATTTTCGTGATTCCGTGTGGTTACTGAATCGCAAAAAAAAAGACACGATTCTTTTGCCATCATCTTTCTACCCCATACCCGAAAACCCGAAGCGGAAGCGCAAATCCTCCTCTTTTCCGTATCATCTCGTTACGCACCTACCGCAAATTTACACCGCCAAGAACAATCATTTACTTAATCAAAATGAGGACAAGTATTACCTGAGTGCCAATCATAGCCGGAGTCCACGAATGCTCGATATCACTATCATCGATTTCCACACCAAAAGTTGTCTCTCGTGGCCGAGCCGCTCGCAATGATGGCGCCGAAGATTCACTAAAATTTAGAAATATTAGTTATTAAATATTAGCGTTTGTTAGCTTTATATTCTTGCATTTAGTACGGTATTAATTGGTTTTAGCTCTTGTAACATAAAATTAGATTTGATTTTTGAGATAGAGACTGGCCTAACAAAAAGTGCACGGGGGAAACCAAAATGAACCTTCAAAATCAAAACTGAAAGGGGTTCAAAAACGTTGGGCATTGCCTGGGCAAGAATGTTTTTGTGGTTCCATAAAAGGACACACTTGAGAATCAAGAGATTTCTCTTTGATTTCTCTTCAAGAATTCATCTTTCCCAAGTGAAAGTTTCTCTATTTACTCTGCAGTCATTCACACGTTCTTGGGCCACATTCATCTTTCCCCTTATTCCTTTTTTTTTCTTTCACTCTCGATTTTCAATTCCTGAGATCTCTAACCTCTTTTCAAATCTCAAGTTTCTGTAGTAAAAAGATGAGCAAATTTTTAGGAATTTATAAAAATAGTTGTAAAATGATGAGTAAGTTTTGAAGAATTTGTAAAAATAGCTTTGATGGTAGAAAATTCAATAAAAATAAGAGAACAGGTGAGAGGCTCGTTATTGGTATGCAGATTGTGGATCGAAGAGACGAAGAAAGCTCGATGTGATGGTTTGAATAAGAAAAAGGGAAAGATGACAAGCAGAAGAAAAAAAGAGGAGAAGAGGGGCTCATGGAATAGAAGAAGACAGAAATGAAAGGAGAAAGAGAGCCCCGTCACAACGCACCCAACCAACGACCAGAACGGGTTCTTTCTCCTCTTCTTTTCCCGTTTTCCCCGCAAACGCCATCCCTCAACCTCCTCTTGCATATGCAAAAATCCTATCAATATCGATAACAGCTAAAAATTTCTTACCAACTGCCTTTTTTTCTTTCAAATGACAAAAAGTTGTGCTGTTTTAAGTTCTTAGAAAATGAAGCCAGTATTTTTATAGTTAGAGGATAGTTTTTAAGCTGTTACATGTTTCAAAAAGCAAAAGAAATCATTAAGAATTCTTCAGAAAAAGCAAACACATGTAGTGGAAATGTTTTGAGAGATATCGAGTCATTGAAAGGGGTCAAGATCTAAAAGATAGCCGCTGACACATTTATTCATATGCACTCACTCCTTTTGTTCTCTGATGAACGCTCTAACTAGGGAAGGTGGAATTTAAGGTGGAGTTTCAAAACGAGACCTTGTTGATCTATCTTGTTCAGTTTTTCACGGGCTTTCCGAATTAGCTTTTAGTTTTTACTAAGCTTACAAACGCAATGGAAAAAAATTAGTAAAAGTTGCGACGAGGGAGTCGAACTCGGACAAAAGACTTCGCAACCGAGAGGACTACCTCTAGGTCAGGGACATGTTGTTGAAGCAAGCGAGGAAGTCTTACAAAGAGATAGCTAAAACTTTAAAGCCAAATTCCTTTTACATTTTACATACATCAGATATGATATTGCTTTAGTTTTCTGAAATTTTTGTCTTCGCAAATGTGCATGGTGTTTGGGTGAAAGTCGATCCGAGAGAGAAGGGCTCCCAGGGGAGATCTTTTTCAAGTATCCCCTTTTTTCCTTTTCACCATAGTTTAAGAATCGTGCCTTACCAAAGCTTATGAAAATGGTTCCGCTTATGAGGTGTCGAACAAGAGAGGGGGCACTAGTTCTCAAGGTGGGTACAGGTTTGTGCTATAGGTGAAGGAGAAAAAGAAGAGAGTGAAGAAAGTAGCGACACGACGCGTGTTCTTCTCATCTTCTTTTGTGAATTGGTTCATGTTGAAGAGAGGGGGAATCAGGATGCAAACCGATTGAGTGAGAAGAGAAAAATCGAGAAAAGATTGAGAATGAAAAAAAAAAGTATGAGAAGAAGACAAGAAATAGGTGTAATTACCACCGGATACTTTCACGCAATCCTTTCCCCTTTTTGCCCGAAATCCAGCAACACTCATTCTCGAGAACGCAAGCTTGTTTGGTTGGCTTTGTTCTTTGAAAAGCTAGTTGCTTTGGGTAGAAAATAGAAGATATTCGAATGCAACCCTCTTGAATGTTCTTCAAAGTTACCGTATCGTTAACTACACACGAATATATAAGGAAAGAATACAAGTACAGATTTAATACATTTATGAGAAAGTCACTTTTGACTTAACTGCTTATCTATATGTTAGCTGTAAAACTGAAAATTTTTAACCGGGGCATTCTGGAATCGAGAATCTAAATCCGTTATTATTTTTTGAGCAACTTTAATTTCCGAACCAATACGATCATCACAAAACTCTCTAAAAATTGGGTAATTAAATCGAATAAAATATCCAAAAATAGAGCAAATTTCTTTAAAAACTAATAACGAATTCGAATTCCAAATCCTCGAAACCCCACGATTGCAAATCTTCAGCCCAATAGGCCTCAAAAAAGTGCTAAATCCATGTACGGCCCACTAGTGGGCCGTATTGTCGCGAATGTGTTAAAAGTTCATCATTAAGTCATTTCTCCACAATCATTAGTTATTTCAGTGTTTTTGCTTTTTCGGTACCAAGCTTAAAGGCCAGATTCAAAGAAAACAAGTTCAAAAGAAACAGCTGCAATGTGATCTAATCTCAAAGTCGCAAAAGAATGTGGTTGTCATTTACTGTGGCCAAAAATGTCAAGCTCAGGTTGGTTCAATTTTTCATCTAGGTTGCACAAAGTGTGTTTCAAGATAGTTTAAAACTAATGAATGTTCAAAAAGAGTTATAATTTAGATTGGCTTACTTTTATTGGACATTTATTTTTCTCTTCCCGCTTTCACCTTTACCCCAGCAGTCCTCGATCAAAAGTGGTTGTTCGATCGACGTTGGCACGAACAGCCGTAAATATAGCTTTATTTGCTTATTTGGATGTCGGTTGGGGGCTATTGAGTGCTGAGTAGATGAGTACCGCAGTGGTGCCTAGCCCTCTCTATACATCAATAACCTTGTTCTATTCCCCAATAGTAATGACAAACAAATCCTTGCAATCCAATCAACAAAGCGATCAAGCGAAAAACTCACCGAGGTCGTGCTCGTCGAATTGTTCTTGGCGAAGCGCTGCTCGCATCACTTTTAATAATCCAAGGTGCCACCGCAAATTTCAGCATCTTTTCTCGCAGATCGATTGAACCGTGATTGTTTTAGGCCCTTATCTGGCAGTGCGTCTCGACTCGGTGTGAATCATCACGCTTGGGCAATCGTACAAAAAATGTGTGCTCAGAGTCGAGCTATCAAAAGGAATAGAGGGGAAAGGGGTCAGAAAGAGATTTAAAAGTGGCCAATAGGGGCCAATTTAGGACAAGAGATCGAGGAAAAAAAAAAGAGGATTCGAGTAAAGTTGACTCTCGAGACAGAGTAAGGGGAAGGGCTCAAGGGATCTCTGAAAAGGAGGGGCTTGAGTTAATGCTGTGTGTCGCACATGCTCTCTCTCACTCTTTTAGTCAAAGAGAGAAGGCGGGGTTTTGCGGTCTTTCCTTTTGACTCGATGCTTTTGAATAAGAAGAAGGATTTAGGCGTCCTATTCACAATGACAACACAACCCGACTCGGCTTGCATTCTGGTCAGCTGTTGTTTGAAAGGCTTGGTCCATGATCTGTTCCTTTTCCAGACTTTAGTTTCTGAACACATCGACTTCTTATAAAGTTTGCGGATTCTTTAGACTTATCTACTGCCCACAAACTATAATCATTAATCGCTTGTTAACAAAAAAAGATCAAGTGTTAGACATATCTCTAACTCTAAGCAGATCATTAACTTTAAACATTAGATCATTAACTTGATCTACGACATCAATATTTTACAAGAAAGCTTATCTTTCGTTCACAAGATTGATACTGTTTTTGCGGCAAAGCGGTTTGAAGGACTCTATTCCAAGTCGCTCAATCGGAAGGGTACAGACTGGTTGGCACCCATCAGATCTCGGATCGGTTGATGTCAATCGAGAAAGAAAAAGAAAAAAAAGAGGACGCTGGCAGCAGGCCTGCCTTTCGCTCTTTTCTCGATTCTCTTTGCCGTGTCCGCATGACGCGCCGTCTACAAACAGCCGCAAGGTCGAGAGCCTTCTCGACATCAAATCAAGTCTCCAAATCTTTGAGTACTCGAAACCAAAATCCCAACAGCTGTCTCCGAGAATTTTTTTTGTATTATCTTAACAGTTACAAGCAGAGTATGTTCTTCGCGATTAATACGCTTTCTAAAACGTATTCCCCGTAAAAAATGGAAAATTCAATATATGCAAAAATTGCAAGTTACAAATTGAAAAAAAGATTTACGTGTACTCTTCCGCACAATAACATCCAATCAGAAAACTCCAGTAAAGATTTGAGCTAAATAGATTTGAGCTTTTTGTACCCCAGGTAATTTCTCTCTTAAGAAAGGGAAAATCGGTAAGGAAAACGCGGGACTTTTCGCTCTTTCATTGCTTCCGAAACGAGACAATTTTGACGCGATGTTTGAAGGAAGGAAAAAAAACGCGGGGAGGATGGCTCGAGTCTTTCTTTAAGAAAAGGTGGCTCGAGGGAATGGACAGGGTAACTAAAGAAGAAAAAGGAAACACAAAGGAATTAGGGTGCTTGTAGAAAGGGACATTTGCCCCGTTGATGGGTCCCTAATGCTCGCACTTCCCCCGCGACAAGCGCTAAACACCCAATTGGACTTGACGAGATTGCATGAAGCTATCGAGCCCCAATCACCCAATTACCCATCATGTGTCAGCCTTGTTTGGTGCCAAGTGGCCTTCTCTATACAAAAAAGAATATATAAAATAAAGCAATAAAGCAAAACGGATGAAAGATACAGTTAGCAGAAGATACAACATCCAAAACTTGGATAATTTACTTGAAATTGTTTACTTGAAAAAGCCCTTTAGATATTTAACGGAAAAGTTTACCTGTCCTCATAATAGCATGGCCAAGCATTAAGACAAAGCCAATGCACTTTCATGCATGCTTTTCCTATTAACCCTTTTTTCTCGGTCATATTTTTATTGACTGTGCACGGTCATTTCTGAAACAAAATTGCTTTTCTTTGATTATCTTTAGAAAGCATATTATTAAATAAAGCTAAAAATGAAAATAAATGAAAATAAATGAAAAGACTTATCCATTAACCTAATAATAAAGGAATAAAAGTTTTGAACTTCAAAGATGAAAATGTTGGTTAATGTAAACGTCTTGTAAAGACTCTATGCAAAGAGAAAAATGTATCGCAAGACTTATGAGATGATCGGAATCTTCAATTCATAAAGAGGACGAATCGACGGAGATGGAAAGAAAGGAGAAAGTCGAAAAGATAGCGGTCAAGATCTCCTCCTCTTTTCCCCCCAAGGTGTCCGCCCTATTCCCCTTTTTCCTTTCGTTTCCCATTTCCGTTAAGGACCACCCCTTTCTCCTAAATTACACATAAAACAGCTTTTTTTTCCTGCCTAAGACCCAAACATTCGTTTTTTCTCTTTTCAGTGAACTTTCTCACATCTCAATTTTTGATTAAAGAATCGTGAACAGATCATGCAAGGAAACCATGCAAGACACTTATCTACCTGTCCTCAACACTGTGAATAGAAAGTGAGCGGGAAAGTGGTCCATCTAGCTCAAGAGTGGTTGAACTCCTTGAGTCGTCGATTGATTGATGAGCCGATACGATGAGCGGATTTTTGGGACGAGCACCGAGCACTGGTGATGGCAGAACTTTGCGAGTGGTAAGTGAGATGGGGCTCGGATTGCGACGACGAACGAGATCGGTTGATGGAGCTTGGGGAAGAGCCGTTGGACGGGGTACGGGCGTTGATGGAGCGAATCGAGAAGAACCATTTGACAAACTTGCCGATCTACCACCTGCTAATGGTAACAGCCGACGTGCCCACGAATGACTAAAGCAAGCGGTGATCGCGATTGTGTGGAAAGATTTGGGGAGAAGCTTGTGGTAACAATAAGAAAGCTATGTCAATAACGACAAAAGGGGAAATGGTGATAATTGGCTGTCTCTAAAAGTGTTTGTAACGGAAAGGTACCTGAAAAGTCGAGTACTCAAATCGGGTGAATCGACAGTGTGAGTGGGAGTGTATTGTGATGAAGAGGCTGAGCTAGGCGCACCCGAGACTGTCGCTCGACTGCTTGTGCCACCGCTTTTCGAAGATGCTCTAAAATTTTGCGATAAATATTTCTAACAATCAGAAATTCTAAAGTACTGACAAGTAAATTTATCAGCTAACCTCTGGAAAGTTCTCTCGACTCGGGCTCGTTGTCTCATCTCTTCAATCGTTTGAAATTCGGTTCTTCCACTAAAAATTGTATCTTAAAGCCGAATTCCAATTGTTTAGATTACTTTCATAACAGCATTATGAACAAAGAAGCGTCAAAATAACTATAAAGCTATAAAATTTCAATTACCTGTATCGAAAACGGCTCCCCAAATTGAAAAGCCCTTTTTGCGGAGGAGCTGGTGGTGCAATTAGCCTGTAAAAATTCGGTGTAAAATATTGTACGTAAGAGAATCTTTACGAACAAATTAGTATTGCAAGTTTAACCTGAAGAAAGTGTGATGTTCAATGCAGGCTTTCCACAATTGTTTACAAGCGGGCGCTGAGTAGATGTTAAAACTCAGACACGTCTCGTCTTCTAACTAAAATCTCACTTTCCCCCTTCATTTACTTTTCATTAACGTACTCCATTTGCATCAGTCATTCGTACACTCACGAAAAATTGCTTTCTTTTAAAAGAAATCTTCATAATCGTTGACCACGGGAACTCCTAGAAGAAAATAATCTCATTTGGAAACACTCTAACACCAAGCTACCTGAATCTTTTTTCTTTCATGGAAAACGAGTAGTCCATACGAGTTGACTCCAACGGAAATTGGAAGCCCTTTTCCATCCTGAAAAAGTTTAGTTAAAAGTTTTCTTTTGTTTTGACTAACCCGAGCCTCATAGAGATCGACTCCATACATTTCGAGGCGTTTCGCGTGATCGAGGAAATTGTACTCGGCTTCGGCTGGAGATTGTCCCTTGTGTACCTATAAAGACTCGGAAAATTAGCTTTTTTTAAAAGTCAAACATCTTAAATCTATCCATTCAAATGGATAGACAATGTAACTGCCTAACAATTCCATAAATCCTAACCAACTCCTACCTCGTGTAATTCAGCCATTTTGCGAGTGAGCTCTTGATTTTGATGTGGAGCGATTTGAAAATTATCCAAGTATCCCAATGGCATCTCTTCAGCATTATAATCTCCAAGTTCCGCTGTAAACATTAATTTCAAAAAGATTTTCTTTCTTTTTTTCTTCTTACATTGAACAATGTAACTGCCTAACAAAGCGAGACTTCCCTCAGCGCATGTCAGCTTCCCCTCCAGTAAATCTTTTCGAATTTGCAGAAAATAGTGATATCTAAAGCGGGTTTTATTTTGATTTAACATTTATCGAAACCTTGTGTATTCCTCGATTAGCTTCGCTGGATCGCTGACATAAAATTTCACTCGAAAAAAGAGTGAATAGGGTGGGCAGAGCATCTGCTTGCGCACAGATTTTTGTGGCTCTAGCCATTTCTGAAAAGTCAAATCTTTTTAGTAGCTTTATTCTATAAAAAATTAACGCATTGTTTTCAAGTTTTACATTTTGTTGAGTATCCCTGGTGTCAAGTACGCAAAGGAATTGGAGGCCAAAGTATTCCCGCTCGACCAACTCCAAATGGGTAAAGACTCGATCGAGAAGCTCTTGGCCTCTTGCATATCGCTAGAAAATATAAATCATTTTTAAATCCTTAATCAATTCGCATATATTTGGGCATTTTTCAAAAACTCACGTCAATTTGAAATTGTCTCTCGCTGCCATCAAGGAAAAACACAGTGCATGTAATCGTGCGATGGCGACTAAATTTGAATTTGAATGATCCTCGCGTAAATCTTTTACTTACCCAAACTTTTGTTTAAAAAGCTGATCGACTAGGAGCATATTTGGATAAGCAAAATAGGTTTTTTTCCTATTACCTTAAAAAATGGGTACTTTAACACATTCACGACAAAGTCATTTTTATCTTGGCTGCCGTTTCGGACGACAGCTATGTGGGGTAATTAAACCGAATGAAATATCCAAAAATAGAGCAGTTTTATTTTAAAACTGATAACGAATTCGAATTCCTCATCCTCGAAACCCCACGATTGCAAATCTTCAGCCCAATAGGCCTCAAAAAAGTGCTAAATCCACGTACGGCCCAACGGTGGGCTGTATCGTCGCGAATGTGTTTTAAAAAATTGGATAACTTAAGAAAATCGGGTACCTAAACAGCGATTCACCAACCAACTTTTAACATTTGCGTTGTCCCCCTTTTCTTTTAAGGCTTTTTTGACTTTTTTTTCTTAGTTCTGGTATAAGCGGTTTTCCATTCTTACCAATAAATATTGAAAAACTTATTTCTTTCTAGCAACTCTTCTGAACATGTATTCAAAAAAATATGTCGGGAGGCCATCTTGTTGTTACATAAACATAAAAATAAACATCAAAGCAAAAAATTAAATCGCTGTATAAGGTACCCGATTTTCTTAAGATATCCGTTCCCTTAAGTACCTGATTTTTTTAAGGTAATAGGAATGAGGCGCAAATTTATTTTGTTGAGCCAAAGAATTCAGAGTACAAAAATGGAGTAGTGAATGGGGGAAAGAAGCGGGGAAAAGAATGGGAACTAGTTTTCGTTTTGACTACATTGATGAGCACAATTTGCTCTCCGGTCGGCGGGCACGACTAACTGTTCGCTTTGAATAAAGAATGGAAAAAAAGTTCGATCTTTTTGGGAAGCGGTAATGGGAATACTGGATATAGACTGGGAGTAATAGGTGAGGATTGGCACGGGAATGGATGGCGAAGGGGAAAGGGGGAAAGGGTGGGGTAGAAGAGGATTCCCAGTCTTCCCTTTATGCACACGAGGGGCTAAGTGTGTGAATCATGTGTGTGAATCATAAAGTACCCCTTTAAACCCTTTACCCCTTCACTATCCTCTTATCAAACAATAGGCCTTTTTCCAGCTCTAATTTCTAACTTTGCTTAGCTTCTAATTAAACTTTTCAAGAGATTTTAAATGCTAAAAGATGCTGTATTTTAATAATCCTACTTTCTGGGGGTGGGACAAATGCGACCTTTTTTTTTGCGCACCTGGACATTTGCGCACCTTTTTTTTGCTGGAAAAGGCCTTAGGCAAGGCCGTAGAGCTTCGAAAGTATTTCCATGTAAGGGAATCGTATGCGTAGATTCCGAATTTCGACAAATCAGACCTCGCTGACACGTCAAATTTGGGCTAAAAGGCAAAAACTGCGGAAAAGCGTTAAGTTGCGTAGTTTTTGCCTTTTAGCCCAAATTTGACGTGTCAGCGAGGTCTGATTTGTCGAAATTCGGAATCTACGCACACGATTCCCTATATGGAAGTATTTTCCAAGCTCTAAGGCCTTTTCCAGCAAAAAAAAGGTCGCATTTGTCCCACCCCCTACTTTCTTCAACTATGAATAAAAGTGTAAAAAAACTGAAACTAAAACTGAAACTCACATGACTGGAAAAAACATAAACTATAAGGCAACCTTAAAACTAGTATAGGATTTGATATTGATAATTCATTGAGTAGATAATTTCATAGTCTAACAACTCTTGAACAAAAAGATTCAAGCCCTATTTTTAACTTAAAAGAAGAATTACGTAAAAGAAGTCGAATTCTAAGGAAATCCTTAAACAGAGATGAGTGATTGCATTTCAAGATTTTAAAGTATTGTATCAAATCAATAACCAAGCGGCGGTGAAGAGATTTTAAGCCAAAAAGCCTTAACCTTTGGGGCTAGGGAACTGTTTGAGTCGAATTGATTTTGAATTTTAACACAAAATTCTAAAATTCTAAAATTCAAAACCCTAACCCTTTAGAAAGTACTTCGAAAAGCTTACCCGAGTGTAGCTGGATGTAGACCCTCACTCTGTCGCACGTCATAGCTACCCGAACCAAAACGCATTCCCGCCAGTTTGACGAAATACGAATTACGTTGTCATAATACTCTGAAAAACTACTGATAACAATGAAAAGTAATAACATTTTCTAAAAAGATTTTAAGGCTGAAAGGATTGTAAAACTAAGATGCTCAAAAAAAAACCAAGTTGTTCTGCCAAGAAAGGAAAAAAAAAAGAGGAAATGTAGAAAAGAAGGGGATTTTGAGAGCGTCCACGCAGGGCTATTTATCACAGCATATGCAAGAGAGAAGCTCTTTTTGTGGAAGAAAAAAGGGAGACGCTTTTTTCCGTTCAAGTATGTAGCAGTAAGTGAGTTCGAACTAAAAATAGGGGGCTTTTTAAAAGGTTTGTAAGAAGTGGATGTACAAAATGAAAAATGAAACGCAGAGTGAGCCGGGATGACGGGGGTGTAATACTCGGAACCCTCGAGCAATCGACGCATTTGATGGGCATTGGCCGACCAAACAAATTGGAATCTCTTCGTCTTGGTCAAACACATTTTTTTTCATCGCTTATTGGATTCTTCATAAAGAATACTTCTTTGAAAGTATACTTTTTACGTGATTTGTGGACTCTTTTAGATAAGTAAAGTAATAGGTAGTGTAAAGAATTCATAGATAAAACTAAACCCGAAGATAAAAGTTGAAAAATATGGGATGTCAATGAAGGTCATAGTAGTGGTTGAAGAATTGTTGCCACCCAACGATCGGGATATGGAAAAAGAAAAGAATTGAGAAAGAGGAAAGGGAAAGGGCCATTTGTGTTACAACCATCCCACCGATGCTCCCCATTCCTTTTTCTTCTTCAAACTCTTTTTAAAGCCAATAGGGTCACCGGGTCTCTCCTTCACCGCCTTTGCATTTCCTATTATCCTCGTTTTTATTTGGTAATTCCCATTTGCCCCGTTCCATCTCGCAAAAGTTATGACCCAATTTGAACTGATTAATAGACAAAAAGTGCAAGAATTTAGACATTTTTGAGAGGATTTAAAGTATTTTGTAAACTCAACATGGTAGACAAGAAAAGAAAAAAAAATGGGTCCTTCTGCCTGAAAAAACCTATGGAAAGAGGGGTAATCAAATTTGGAAAAAGGTCGAAGCGCTCTTTTCAGAGAAAAGAATTTTGTTCAAAAAGAGCTGTTCAAATGGATAAAACAAACAAGTAGAAAGTAGATTTCGCATAAAAAATTTGAGTTAATCTGACAGTGAGAATGGGAGGGTTGAGGAAATAGGAGAAGAGGATTTGTGTGGTGCGCGAAAATTGCTCGAAATTCGATTGTTTGGCGCGAAAGAGTGAGAGATAGGAAAACGAAAAAGCGCGGCCAAAACTGGGAGAAGGGGGGAGGGGAGGGTGAGAAGGGTGGGTGCAGAAGGGGATCCGGGTTAGAGGGTAATCCCGACGAGCATTTCGAAGCCTTTTTCCCTTTTACACAATTGCCAACTATTCGATGGATCTTTTCTCTTTTCTTGTCATTAATCGGGATCGCGGTAAGCCACTCTTCGCGCCACAATACCCATCAAAATAGGGCAAAGCCCATCTGCGACTAATTCGATCTTATCCCCTGTTGCCAGTCGCGGCGAACAAGCGCATAAATATACAAAAATTTGAAATAACGGCAAATTCAATGAGCCGGACAGGTGTCATTGAGTATAGATTGATTGGGAAGGAAATCACGGTATGGCAATGAAGCACAAGAGATGGGGGTCAGTTGGTCGAAAGGCTACTGCCTAAGCTGAGGATGAAGAGGAGGGGTGGCAGAGCCGAGCACAGAAAGGAGAGAAATTCCCTCGAGACTTTCTCCTCCTTTCTTCTGTTCCCTTCAACTGGTCATCCAACGCTCATTTCACTCTATCAAGACAAAGCAAAAGCCTATATTTAAAATTCATACAAAGAAGTTAAAAAGTTGGTTAGCAAAAAGGTACAGATGGGAAAATGAAGGGGGGATTGCTGAAAAGCGAGGAGCTAACAACAGAAAAGCGGTTGTTCTTGGAAATTCGAGACTCACACATACGTCGAGAAACGAAATCCGTGAAGTTGACAAAACGGAAACAATGGCCGAGGTCTCGAGGTCGCGTTTCGCCAACAAGCCCTTAAACGACAGCTTTATTACTACAAGGACGGTATTTTTGCAAAAGAAAGAAACTCGACCAAAGTTGGCGAAAGGATTGTGAAGAAGGGGAATTATGAATGAGAAAAGAGGCCGGGGATCAAATGCTTCGACTGAGTACTTTTGTACACTCGCCTCTCGACCATCTCACACACATAAACCTCTAGGGAGATCTCACACACAAATAACTAATCACTACAGTAAATAATGGGTCAATAATAACAACTCCAAAATATAGAAGAAAACTTTTAGTAATAGTAAATCATCGCGACTTGTAAAGTGATAGCTTGCTCGTGGAATAACAGTTAGTGGGAGTGGGACAAATGCGACCTTTTTTTTGCGCACCGGACATTTGCGCACCTTGCCCATTAGCGCACCTTTTTTGGCGTTTTAAAAAAGCTCTAAAAAGCCAATATTAACCAATTTCTATTCCAAAAGTTGTTTTTCTAGGTAATTTTAGGGCGTAGAATCGAAATTTTGACATATCAGAGCTTGTGGAAACAAACGAACGGAGTTATACAAAGAGAAAAAATCGACAATTTTCTGTAATTTGATCTAGCCGTTTTGTCTTTCAAATTGGTTCCACAAGCACTGATATGTCAAAATTTCGATTCTACGCCCTAAAATTACCTAGAAAAACAACTTTTGGAATAGAAATTGGTTAATATTAGCTTTTTAGAGCTTTTTTTAAAACGCGAAAAAAGGTGCGCTAATGGGCTGAGTGCGGAAAAACGCAAAAAACGAAAAAGGTGCGCAAATGTCCGGGTGCGCAAAAAAAGGTCGCATTTGTCCCACTCCCCAGTTAGTTTATCCAGAATAATGAAGACGAATAAATTGATTGATTAATCATAATTGATCAAAAAGAATCATTTGTATACAAAAATGTAGAACTAAATGGAAGAAAATGAAGAAAAAATGGAAGAAAAACAAAATAAAATGACAGACTACGGGACGTTTCTAGTGACAACCTAGACAGACGTGAAAGGTGCACTTTAGAAAACGGTAATTTTGTGGGAAGGCTATCTTTCCAACAGTGTATTCAAATCAAGCAAGTTTAGGAGCTCATTGTCGGCTCTTGACCAATTCTAACATGAAAATAACAACTATGAATGCTATAGTTAGAGAAGATTGGAAGAAATGGTGGAATTGAAAGCAAAAGAAGAGAAAAGGAAAGAAAAAGAGTGAGTGGAGTGTGGGTCGAATCCCTTAGAGACGACTCCATTATGGATGACCGCTGCCACCAAACCCACCAAACGCACTTACACTATTTTTTTTTCGTTCGAAAAACACTAATTTCTTTCATCGAAAATATGGAGAGAAAAGTCAATGATGAACCTAGTGAAAGTTCTTTTTACAGCCTTGAAGCGTGAGAAGAAGTGAGGGGCGCAAATTTGGATTCATGGAGTTTCGAATGGTTGAGCATATGGCCGATGACAGAACGCCGTGCATAATTTATCGACATTCGGCTGTCCTTTTCCCGATTTCATAGACAAAAGACGCTATATCGTTTACAAATCGCTCACTGTTAATCAAGACAATAGAACACATCTAAGAAGAATAAAAAAAACAAGGAAAAAGGATAGATTTTGACCAGAATGAAAACAATGAAACGATGAGCTGCAAAGAAAGAAGAAAGAAGAAAGAAGAAAGAGAAAGAAGAAAGAAAGAAAGAAAGAAGAGATTTCTCTCAGCAGGCAGCCTTTCTTCAAATGCCGTGCACCCTTTTGTACCATTTTCATTGAGAATCTAAATGAGAGCTTGAAATCAAGCCCAAAAATCATTTCCATGAAACAAGGAAAAAAAAAGTCATTGCTGTGAAATCGTGCATTTGGTGAATTTGGTGAATTTGGTCACCAATTTCACCTCAACAGAGACAAATAAATGTGAAGAGGAAATGAGGGGAAAGGCAAAGCAAGGTCAAATCCACCATCCAACTGTGGATTCCCACAAACATCCAAACTGTCGAATCGGCTTTTTTTCAACTCTCATTCAATCCCCCGATCTTTCCCCCTGCAATCCCTTCGATTCTCCAAGCATCCATCTTTTTTCATACTTCGAAAACAGGTGTGTTACTGAGATGAGAAAGGTTTTCTTTTCAAAAAGATTTCTATCAAGCTTATTCACTCGTAAAAGAAAATTGTTTTGTAGTTCAAATTTGAGCGGGCTTTTCTATAGAATTTCCAATGTACATCATCGCATTTTTTCTTTCTTAATCACCCTTGAAGAATCAAATGCTAAAACCTTTTCTCCATAGAAGAAAAAGAGAAAAAAAAAACAAGCCGCTGATTGAATATTTAACGTGTCTTCAAAGATTCGATTTGTTCTCTTCACTTTCATTTTCATTTATTTACTCTCCCAGGATTGCGTCATTCTCTAAATCGGATATTCACATATTGTACCCGATTGCCGTGTTTGTATCGTTTTTTGCTCTCTGCATTCACTCACTCCTTGATGGGAATTCAATTTTCGGAAAAAGAAGTGGCTACGAAAGATCGGGCTATTTGTGAATATTTTAGGATTTTTGACTGTTTGGAGATTGTTATGGAGATTGTTTTTTTGGAGAAAAGGACAGCTTTGAACAGCTTTGACTTTACGTCATTGTAAATTTCTCTTTAAAATCTCTTGCCTAAAAATTCATTTCTATTTGAATAATTTCAATCTTCGACCTTTTTTTTCTTCGTTCAACGAAATAGAAATTTGCGCTTATAGCTTGTAAAACGCGGCATAAAACACATAAAGCATTTCGCTGTGTACAAAGAGAAACTCTGGTGATAAAATCCGCGTATATGACCAATTTTAGTCGAATAATTAAAGAATAAAGAAAGAAAAGCGATCGTAAATGACCAAAAAAAAGGTGGTAATGCTTTCGCGCGCTGCTATGGAGATCTTTTTTGAGTG